CAGCACTTGGATTCAAGAACACCTCTCTAGTCGTTGAACACTGAGGTTAGATTCCAAAGCCCTCTGAGTTGTAGGCCCAGCTCTTCCATTAACTTGCTGTATGACTTAGAGCAAGTTACTTAACCTCTCTATATCTCTTAATCCAGTTCTCTCATGTTACAGATAAAGAGATTATCTCTAAGGTCCTAGCATCCTTAATGTTCAATGATTCATTACTGTTCACTTTCAAAATCTCCTTTGAAAGCTCTTTGTGTACAATAGGTCATCTTCCTATTGGGTGGAAGGGAAGGTGGTCTGGGTTTGCTAATATCCCTAAGTATAAACCAGCAAGAAGTTTTTATGTGGGTCTTCCAAACTTCACCACGAAGTTGTTTAGGACTTTCTAGGTATCAGTTTTCATAGAATCAAGTGTTAGAACTTTAAGGGATCTTAAAAAGCATCTAGTTCAATCCCATTTGTCTAAACAAATAAGGAAACTGTGAGGGTCAAATAGCCAGAGAAGTTAAAGTACTTGCCCAAGTTTATGGAACTAACTCAATGATTTATTCATTCAACAAATTTTTATTCAGCTGCAAGATGCAGACACTATACTAGTTTTCATTTCAAGTGTCCTTATCCTCTCCCAAAAGAGAAGCCTTCACTTCATACACAAAGGAGTCATTCATTACAAAATTCTCAGCTTGTGGGGTTTGACTATAAAATATAATGCTCCAAGTAATATGTATAATTTTGTGGAATTGATAATTAGAAGATGTCAATAGGAGAAGTATTATCTTTGGATGAATTTCTCTCTTTTTAACCTTTTGCCACCACCAAGGAGATGTTGGGTGGATTTGTGAATTATTGAACTAGACTTGGGAAAGAAGATTAAGTTTTCATTAGGAACACTTTCCTTCTACTATGGGGATTGTTTATAAATAACTCATTATGAAAGGAGCTGTTTAAAGTAGATAATTGCTCATTAAGAGGCCTCTGGAAAATAAAAACAAAGGTTTTGAGTCAAAAGTCACTTCAAGATAATGTAGCGAGAATATTAATCTGCCACTTTTATATTCAGAAGGAAAAGGTTAATGGGAATTTTGATGGAAGTGTGCCTTAATAGAATTTGAAGTCAGCAAATTTGAAATAAGCTACTGTTTGGATACAGATCTGGAGAAGCTAGATCTATAAATGTTAAGTTAGTTAAAAGAAAAGAGCCCCAGTTGTCCTTTAAATATGACAGAAACGCAACCATTGTTATATTGCAGTTAGCATTTCAGAATGTTAATGGCTAATTAGCTGAAAAGCCCCTTTCAGATGTGTTACTCATAATGTTGCCCAGTTCTTTGGTTCAAGAAACCAAGACTTGAGTTATTAAAGGCAGTTTCCCAAGAATAATCACAAAACTGATATGTCCAGATGTTGAGGTCAGATTTGGGAGAGGGGCTCCGGTGTGAAAGAATTCACTTAGACCACTTTCTCTTAACCAATGGGAGCTTTTTATTTTATGTGGAAGAGCATCATGGAGCTCATTAGTGAGATGCTAATGAAAAGGCCCTAAGATTTGGAAGGATCAGGCTCATATAGACAGAAAACAATACAGCCTGATGATGTTCAGGATGATATGGTTTTAGGGTTTTATGGTAGTTAAAGATAAGGACAAGATAAGGAAGGTGGGAAATTTTATGACAGGGTGTGGGAGGTGGCTGTTTACAAGATAAGAAAAATTTATGACACAGGATGACGGGGGGGGGGGGGGGGGGGGGGTACTTTAGAACATCCTCAAGTTTCAGGAAGGGCTACAGAATGAGCCCCAATCCCCCCTCAGGAGGGTCTTCACAAAGTACTGGAAAAGCAATCCTTAATATTCTTTTTAAACCTTAGGGCACCATATGCTATATCCACATCACAAACTTAGATAGATCTTTACTAATGGCACAAAGATTGGCTATAGTCATTGCCTGTAACAGATGGTAGATTCTAACAGTAAATATAATCCATCCTGTACTAAACAGATATATGGGTGGGCATACATGCTTCTTGGTAATTTGGTCTCATTGATTACCTTTTACGTAGCTTGTAGACACATAAAAACAGTCAACCATGTAGTTAATCAAATTAGGATTTCATGTTTCAGTTTAAAGCCTCACATTGTTTTCCTGGCTAGGTTTTTAGGAGAAAGGGGGTGGGGGGGCTGAGGAAGTTGGTTACTACCATTTTTTTAAAAAGGTTTATTGATGCCTCTTTTTTTTATACCTTTGTGATTTCTTGTTCTCATCTCTCTGTCTCTCTCTCTCACACACACACACTACACACACACACACACACACACACACACACACACATATACACACACAATTTGAAACTACAAAAAAACCTCAGAGATTAACTAGTCCAACCCTTTGATTTTACAAATGAAGCTCACTTCATTTACATACACAGGCTAAGTAACTTGCCCAAGGTCACACAGTGGCAGAGTTGGGATTTGAACCCACATCCTCAGACTCCAAATCTAGCACTAAGAAGAGGGGAATTGTGTTTCATAAGTTGTCCTCAGAGTCCCAAACTGGACATAAGAAAATCCTCTGGAATGTTGTTTTCTGTTTGTTTTTTTTTAAAGATTAGTTGCCTTCAGATTTGGAAAAGGCAGGACAGCTAGGTGGCTCGAAGGATAGAGCCGTGTGCTTGGAATCAAAAGCCTCCTCTTCATGAGTCCAAATTTGGCCTCAGACACTGACTAGCTGTATGAGCCTGGGCAAGTCACTGTTTGCCTCAGTTTCCTCATCTCTAAAATGAGCTGGAGAAGGACATGCAGTTTCTTTGCCAAGGAAACCCCAAATGGGGTCACAAAGGGTTGGAAACACAACAACACTGAAGGCAAAATAATGTTAAATTAAGGGTTAGTTTCCTATAGTGATGAATGGTTTTGGGGTTTTTTTGGTGAGGCAATTGGGGTCCTTCCAACATAGGTGTTTTTTTATAGAATGCAGAGACTATCTCTCTTTAATCATTTATCTGTTAATCAAGGATCCTTGGTTCATCCCAACCAGTGTAGATCCCAGTCCTTCTTGAAATTTTTAGTTTCAGGGGAGCAGCTAGGTTGTGCAGTGGATAGAGCACCGGCCCTGGATTCAGGAGGACCTGAGTTCAAATTTGGCCTTAGACACATAACACTTACTAACTGTGTGACTCTGGGCAAGTCACTTAACCCCTATTGCCCAACTAAAAAAAAAATAAAATAAAAAATTTTTTAAAAAAGACATTTTTAGTTTCAGAGTGCTGCCTGAAGCTCACAGGGTTTAAATGCCTTGGCACAGTAATCACACAGTGTCAGGAATGAGATTTGAACTCAGGCATCCCCTAGCCTTGATAGCTCTGAGTTATTTAATAAAATATAAATTATACTCCTGAATCTTGTATATAATAAAAATTGAAGTATGTATCAATCAAGGCAATAGAGTAATCACAAATTTTAATTAAACTTTCTGAGGTCTTTAGGAAACAGGCCATGTAGAAAAGGGGAGGAGCCAAAGGGAGAAAACAGACAGCCAAAGGCCTCTGGGAGAGGAGTGAATTAGGCAGGGGGGAGTTCCAGGGTCCTGAACTGGACCCTGAACTGAGGAGAGAATGGGGTCTTAGGGGCCAGGAAGTGGCCCAGCTCTGCACTGCCTCCTTCAAGTGCCATAACTAATGACACCGATGTCATCACCAAAGCCTTGTTGACAAGTGTGAACCACTATAAATGGAATAATTGCAAGTCAAGAACTCTTTGTCTTGGTTTGAATGCAAATGCAGAGCGAAAGACTAAGCTTTTCTAGGAGCAGAGGGGGACACAAAGAGCAATGGGTTGCTTCTCCATGGGGATCTTAGTCCATTTGGGGTGACATAGGCACATGAACAGATGACAAACAGTACTGGGTTGTGAGTGATGGAAGTGAATGATTTTAGAAGGCAGATGAATCCTGTTAAAGACATATTTATATTCTCATTAGGCAGACCACCTCCCCCTCCCCAATTTCTCGACCCAGGATTTGGACTAATTCAGGGGGTGTGCCAGGGCTACTTCTCAGCATATGGTTCCTTGATATCACTGATAGCTAATTTTCATTAGTACTAACATTTGTTCTTTGGCTTATTGGGAGAGGTGCAAAGTCCTTTGAGAACTGGGAAAGAAAAGAGAGATGTCACTGGAAGGTGAGGGGGTGGAGATATCCTAGAAGAATCCAGAAAGCTTTCAAGAAGGGGAGGAGATAACCACTTTCTCGCTGAGCCTTGAAAGAGGGAGAGGACTTCAGCAGGCACCAGGAGCCATTCAGTGGTTCCCGGGATGGATTTTTCTCAGTTTACCAAACCCTATGGTTTTTGTTTTTTTAAAATATAGCCTGCCTTCACTCCTAAATGCACTGTAGGTTGTTATACCTTTAACCTGATAGCTCTGCTGATAAATGTTTAGCCGGTTATTGGAAGCCTAGTATCAGATAAGTGTCTCCCTGTGAGCTCATGTGGATGAGATGTCTTTCTATTATTAATGTTTAACTTACAGTAAAATCACTAGGGAGTTTGTTAAAAGGTAGTTAGGTTTCCTGTTTTTTTTTTAATATTTACCTAAAAATATTAGAATAAAATTATACATTCAAATGTAAAATTTTGTCCTTTTAAAAGAAAAACACAGGCGTCAGGTTTGCTGGTTTTTTAATACCCCCTAAAATATTAAGATAAAATTGAAATTGTACATGTACAATTTTATCCTTAAAAAAATGGCCATCTGATATTAGTTCTCCATTTCTGTGTGATTGAAATACAAAAGATCAGTCCCTGTAACCTGGAGTGTATTAAAGAAGAGTAGATTAGACATCAGCTCTATTCAGCATTTTCTTCCAACCCTCTCTTTTTAAATGAAAAGTCAATGTCTCTGTGATTTTATTTTCCAGTACTGCTTTGTGTGTTCAAATGCCATACCCGTTGCACTTAATTCTTAAGACTTAACCATTCCTTTTCTTTCCTTGCCCTTCACAATGTAGGTGAACAGTGCTAATGACCCTTGGTCAAACTGGAATGTTGGTAAATCTGGGAACTGGGAAAGCACAGATGGTTGGGGAACCAAACCAGAAGGCGCCTCTGCTCAGAAGAACACTTCCAACAACTGGGATGCTGCCTTTGGCCATCCACAGGCCTACCACGGACCAGGTGAGAGAAGGCACTTCTGAGCCCTTAAAGTAACCTGTCGTCCCCCTTAGATACACATTTTCATACATGTTAGACAATCCCTCGTGACTACTTTACTGAGAGAATCTACAAACACTCTTTGTTCTGCCGTCACCAGATGTTGGCGGTTGATGTTCTTTTCAAAGTACAGACAAATGTCAATTATCCACAAAGGGATCATCTGCTTTGTAACACCTGAGGACGTTGCCACCTCCTTGGGGCTTAGGACTACTGCTCAGAAAGGCTCAGGCTCTTTTTATGTCCCAAAGCTAAATTTAAGTCTCGTCTTTACAAGTCTTTCCTTGGCTATTAGTTGACGTGATCTGTGCCAGTCTGTGCCCAGGGTTAGCTCAGGGAATTGAAAACTGACGGTATGACAAGAAACTTTCATAGGCACAACATGGAGGTGGCCTTCTGAATCAAAGCAGAAACACTGTAGTTGAGACTACTGAGAAGTCTGGACTGCTGGCTGATTCTGGGAACTCCTCTTCTAGAATCTCTGTTCTCTTCTTCCTTCACTTCTGTAAATCTCTTCCTTTCTGGGTGATAAGCCTGAGTGCCCAAACTCCTCATCCTCTTTGTGTAGAAACAGCCCACTTTAAAAGGAAGTTTGAAAGGAAGCGTAAATAAGCAAGACGGTTTTGAAAGTAACCTCTGGAACTATATATTCTTTTTAAAAGGGAAGGAAATATGAAATGGAGATTCATGGTTTCCTACGTAGCACTTTTTTGTGTTGTGCTGTGTTTGTGTCTTGTGTTTGGAAATGCTCTTTTTTGTGGCTGATTAGGTTCAGAATAAAAAATATAGTGAAACAACAACAACAACAAAAAGATGGCCTGCTGCCTCTCACCAGGGAAGCAACATTGAAGACTGAACATGGAAATTGGAAAAAAGGGAAGAAGCCCTACCTGTCAGGGGCACCACTATTTCCCCAGAGAATCTTAGCATTAGAAGTCATTTAGTAAGACTTCCAGACCTGGGCAGGAATCCCCCCCCCCTCAGCATACCTGAGAGGTGGATGTTCAGGTAGAGGATGAGTGACACCCTACCCCACCCCCATGCCAGCCACAAATAAAGAAAGATCTCATTAACTCACTAGGCAGCTCGTTGACTTTTGGGGTAACCCTGATGGTGAGAAAATTCTTCTTCATTGAGTCAGAAAGGTCCACTCCTAGGGCAGCTACGTGGCGCAGTGGATAGAACACCAGCCCTGGAGTCAGGAGGACCTGAGCTCAAATCTGATCTCGGACACATAACACTTACTACCTGTGTGACTCTGGGCAAGTCACTTAACCCCAGCTGCCTCGACAAAAAAAAAAAAGGTCCCCTCCACTGGTCTTATTTGCAGTTCCCTTAGACTTACACAGAGTAAGTGCCATCCTATAATACCACGCAAATTGTAACTCTGATTTAGAGTCAGAGCTTTTCTACTTACTTCCTCTGTAACCTTAGGCAATAACCTCTCCAAGCCTCAGTTCATGTGTAAAATGTGGGGAAAGGAAGGAAATAAGTATTTTTATAGCACATACTGTGTGCCAGGCACTGTGCTTAATTACAAATATTATCTCATTTGATCCTCACAACCACCCTGTGAAGTAGGTGCTGTTATTATCCCCATTTTACAGTTGAGGAAACTGAGGCAAACGGAAGTTAAGTGACACAGATAGGAGATGTCTAATGACCCATCTCTATCCACAAAGCCACTTAGCTGCCTCTCAAATGAAGAGCTGGACTACATGACTCTCTGCTTTCTTCTAGCTGCATATCTGTGATCTTCCTGATGACATGTCTTCAGAGATTTGATGACAGCTATCCTGTCCCTCTGAGTTTGTCTTCTTTGAGCTGATTATTCCAAGTTTCTTCAGTCAGTGGCAGTTTCAAATCACATGGCAGTTTCAGATCTCCCCACCACCCTGGTCACTCCTCTAGAATAGTTTTTTTGGTCTGTGCCTTTTACATTCTGGTGCCCAGGTTTGAAGGGAGAGGAGATGTGGTCTGCCCTCTTCTGGGTCCATCCTTCCGACGTGTGAATGCTGAACTCCTAGTGATGGAGTGTAAAATTATGTGGAACGTTGTGGTTCAGCGGAAAGAGCGTGAGACTTGTAGTCAGGTCCCATCTCCGATACTGACCTCGTTTCCATGGCTACGTATCTTAGCCTCTGTTTCCTCATGTGTAAAACGAGGATAATAAAACCTTTAATAGCAACCTCACTGGGCTGTTAAAAGATCAGATGACATGGTATATACAGAGCACCTTGTAACCTTAACAGTCTATAAAAGGCAGCTATCATCATCATTATCTTTATTATTATTATTATTATTAGCCTCTCTGAAAACCACATTACATATTGGCTTGTACCAAGCTTATAGCCAGCTAAAACCCTGTCTTTGTTCCAAACACCTTGGTGTTCATCTTTCCTTTCTTTCTTCTTTATCTCTCATATCCAGTGAAGCCCCCTTAAGAGTCTTCCTCTAATTTCTCTCAAATCCATCCCCTCTTCTCAGTTCCCACTGTTAAGCACTTTAGTATGGGCCTCTATTATCACCTGTCTGGGCTATAGTCTCCTAACATGCCTTCTCCCCTCTCTCTTCTCCCCTGCACCAGTCTGTCCTTCATAGTCCCACAACCTGGCATGAAGGTGTTCCACCAGCTAATATTATCTTCGCTGTGCCAGCTTCCTCCCTCCTCTTGCCAGACTGGAAGTAGAGCAGCCATTCATTCTTAAGCTCATTCACACTCCTGATTGGCACAGAAGCTTTCACCTTCATTTTCCCAAACTGGGCCTGATGCCTCTCTTTGACCAGCCTGGTGACCCTTTGCTCCTGGAGCCTCATCATATTGGGGCGCAATTTAATTCAAGGACCCGGTTGGCTTTAGTCCTACTGTCACTCAGAACTCTGGAGCTCAACCATTTCACCAGCCTCAGCCTCCCCAAGCAGCAAGAGTTATAGGCTTTCATCACGACACCTAACACCATTCTACTTTTCTTTTCTTTTTTTTTTAAATTTTCTTTCTTTATTTATTTTTAGTTTTCAACTCTCACTTCCATAAGATTTTGAATTTTAAAATCACCCCCCCCAACCCCAATGACATATAGTCCGATATAGGCTCTACATGTACTTTCATGTTAACCATAATTTCCCATTAGTCATGATGTGAAGAACAATTAGAACTAATGGGAGGAACCATGAGAATGGAGCAATAAAACAAAAGAGCAAAGGAAAAGGAGAGCAATTAGTATGCTTCCATTTGCATTCAGACTCCATGTTTCATTCTCTTGGTATGGATAGCGATTTCCATCACGAATCTTTTGTAGTTGTCTTAGATTCTTGTGTTGCTGTGAAAAGCCAAGTCTGTCAAAGTCAATCATCCCATAATGTGGCTGTTACTGTTTGCAGTGTTCTTCTGGTTCTGCTTACTTCACTCTGCATCTCTTTGTATAGGTCTTTCCAGGTGTTTTGAATTCTCTGCTCATCATTTCTTGTAGCACAATAGTATTCCATTATATTCATATACCAGAGCTTGTTCAGCCATTCTCCAATTGATAGTCATCCCCTCAATTTCCAATTCTTTGCCACCACAGAAAGAGCTGCTATAAATATTTTTGTACATGTGGGTCCTTTTCCCATTTGTATGATCTCATTGCGATATAGCCCTAGAGGTGCTATTGCTGGATCAAAGGGTATGCACATTTTTATAGCCCTTTGGGCATAGCCCCAAATTGTTCTCTAGAATGGTTGGATCATTTCACAGCTCTACCAACAATGTATTAGTGTTCCAGTTTTCCCACGTCTTCTCTAATATTTATCGTTATCCTGTTTTGTCATGTTAGCTAATCTGATAGGTGTGATGTGCTACCTCAGAGTCATTTTGATTTGCATTTCTCTAATGAATAGTGATTTAGAACATTTTTTCATGTGACTTATAGAGAGCTTTAGTTTCTTCCTCTGAGAACTGCCTGTTCATATCCTTTGGCCATTTATCAATTGGGGAATGATTTGTATTCATTTTAGAAATGAGGCCTTTATCAGAGACACTAGTTGTAAAAATTCTTTCCCAGTTTTCTACTTCCCTCCTAATTTTGGATGCATTAGCTTTATTTGTGTAAAACCTTGTAAATTTAATATAATCAAAATTGTTCAATTTGCATTTCATAATGTTCTCTGTCTCTTGTTTGGTCATAAATCCTCCCTTCTCCATAGATATGGAAGGTAAACTATTCCTCGCTCTTCTAGTTTGCTTACAGTATCAGTCTTTATATCTAAACAGTGTATCCATTTTGACTTTACCTTGGTATAGGGTGTAAGATGTTGGTCTATGCCCAGTTTCTGCCATACTCTTTTCCGGTTTTCCCAGCAGTTTTTGCTAAATAGTGATTTCTTATCCCAGAAGCTGGAGTCCTTTGGATTTATCAAATAGTAGATTAGTACAGTCATTGACCTAACCTATTTCACTGATCCACCACTCTATTTCTTAGCCAGTACCAAGTAGTTTTGATGATTGCTGCTTTATAATACAATTTAAAATCAGGTACAGCTAGACCACCTTCTCTTGCATTTCTTTTCATTAGTTCCTTTGATATTCTGGACTTCTTATTCTTCCAGATGAAATTTGTTATTGTTTTTTCTAGCTCTATAAAATAATTTTTTGGTAGTTTGATTGGTATGGCACTGAATAAGTAAATTAATTTAGGCGGAATTATCATTTTTATTATATTAGCTTGGCCTACCCATGAGTAACTGATATTTTTCCAGTTATTTAGCTCTGACTTTGTGTGAAAAGTGTTTTGTAATTGTGTTCATATAGTTCCTGGTTCCAGGTAGACTCCCAAATATTTTATAGTATCTACAGCAATTTTAAATGGAATTTCTTCTTCTATCTCTTGCTGCTTGGCTTTCTTAGTAATATGTAGAAACACTGATGATTTGTGTGGGTTTATTTTGTATCCTGCAACTTTGCTAAATTAGTTTATTATTTCAGGTAATTTTTTACTTGATTCTCTAGGATTCTCTAGATATACCATCATATAATTTGCAGAGTGATAGCTTTGTTTCTTCTTTGCCTATTCTAATTCCTTCAATTTCTTTTTCTTCTCTAATTGCTATGCTAATGTTTCTAGCACAATATTGAATAATAGTGGTGATAATGGACATCCTTGTTTCACCCCCAATCTTATTGGAAATTCTTCTATCCCCATTGCATGTAATGCTTGCTGATGGTTTTTGTTAGATGCTATCTATCATTTTAAGGAAGACTCCATTTATTCCTATGCTCTCTAGTGTTTTTAATAGGAATGGATATTGTATTTTGTCAAATGCTTTTTCTGCATCTATTGAGATAATCATATGATTTCTGTTAGTTTTGTTGTTGATATGGTCAACTATGCTGATAGTTTTCCTAATGTTGAACCAGCTCTGTATTCCTGGTCTAAATCCTACCTGGTCATAGTGTGTTATCTGCAAGATAAGTTGTAATCTCTTTGCTAATATTTTATTTAAAATTTTTGCATCTATATTCATTAGGGAAATTGGTCTCTAATTTTCTTTTTCTGTCTTTGCTCTTCTAGTTTAGGTATCAGCAACATGTCTGTATCATAAAAAGAATTTGGTAGGACTCCTTCACCTATTTTCCCAAATAGTGTATACAGTATTAGATTAGTTGTTCTTTAAATGTTTGATAGAATTCATTTGTAAATACATCTGGCCATGGAGATTTTTTCTTAGGGAGTTCATTGATGGCTTGTTCAATTTCTTTTTCTGAAATGGGTTAAGTATTTTATTTCTTCTTCTGTTAATCTGAGCAATTTATATTTTTGTAAATGTTCATCCATTTCTTCAAGATTGTCAAATTTATTGGCATATAGGTAAAATATTGGCATATTGGCAAAATAACTCCTAATTATTGTTTTGATTTCCTCTTCATTGATGGTGAATTCACCCTTTCCATTTTTCATGCTGGTAATTTGGTTTTCTTATTTTAATCAAATTAACTAAAGGTTTATCTATTGGGGGTTTTTTTTCCCGTAAAATCAGCTCTTAGTTTTATTTATTTCAGTGGTTTTCTTAATTTCAGTTTTATTAATCTCTCCTTTGGTTTTCAGAATTTCTAACTTGGTATTTATTTGGGGGTTTTCGATTTGTTCTTTTTCTGGCTTTTTTAGTTGCATGCCCAATTCATTGATCTCTCCTTTCTCTATTTTATTCATATGAGCATTTAGAGATATAAAACTTCCCCTAAGGACTGCTTTCGCTGCATCCCATAAGTTTTGTTATGTTGTCTCATTATTGTCATTCTCTTGGATGAATTTATTGTTTCTGTGATTTGTTGTTTGACCCACTCATTCTTTAGGATTAGATCATTTAGTTTACACTAATTTTTAGTCTGTCTGTCCATGGCCCTTTATTATGTGTAATTTTTATTGTATCATGGTCTGAAAAGGATATGTTTAGTATTTATGCCTTTCTGCATGGGATTAGAGGTTTTTATGCCCTGGTACATGGTCAGTTTTTGTGTAGGTGCCATGTACTGCCGAGAAAAAGGTGTATTCCTTTTTGACCCCATTCCGTTTTCTCCACAGGTTAACCATATTTAACTTTTCTAAGATTCTGTTGATCTACTTCTTTCTTGTTTATTTTGTGGTTAGATTTATCTAGTTCAGAGAGAGAGAGTGTGAGGTCCCCCACTAGTGTAGTTTTGCTATTTCTTCCTGTATCTCCCTTAACTTCTCCTTTAGGAATTTGGCTGCTGTACCACTTGGGGCAAATATGTTTAGCAATGATATTACTTCATTATCTGTGGTACCTTTTAGCAGGATGTAGTTTGCTTCCTTATCTCTTTTAATTAGATCTATTTTTGCTTTTGCTTTGTCTGAGATCACGATTGCTACCCCTGCCTTTTTTACTTCAGCTGAAGCATAATATGTTCTGCTCCAGCCTTTTACCTTTACTCTGTGTGCATCCCTCTGCATCAAATGTATTTCCTGTAGACAGCATATTGTAGGTTTATGGTTCTTAATCCACTCTGCTATCTGTTTCCGTTTTATGGGAGAGTTCATCCCATTCATATTTACAGTTATGATTACTATCTGTGTCTTCCTCTCCATTCTATTCCCTCCCTCCTCGTTTATGCTTTTTTCTCTCCTTTTTCCTTTTCCTTCCTCAGAAGAGTTGTGGTTTCAACCACCATCTCCCTCAGTCTGCCCTCCCTTCTATTAGCCTCCTCTCTTATAGGGTAAGTTAGATTTCTGTACCTAATTGATTATGTTATTCTTTCTTTGAACCAGTTGTGATGAAAGTAAGGTTCCAACAGTGCTCATCTCCCTCCCTTCTTTCCCTCTACTGTATTTGGTTTTTATGCCTTTTCATGTGATGTAATCAATCCTTGTCTGCCTCCTCCTGTCTTCTTCTCCCAGTACAGTCTCTTTTCTCCACTTAATTAGATTTTTTACCATCCCATCAAAGTCAACTTAAACCCACACCCTCTGTCTAAGTATACCCCCTTTTAAATGTCATGATGGCATTACAGTTACAAATATCATCATCCCTTGTAGGGATGTAAACAGTTTGCCCTTATTGATAATATGATGATGTTCTTTTTTTTTTCTTTCCTATTTAACTTTTTATACTTCTCTTGAGCCTTATATTTGAAGGTCAAATTTTTTGTTGAGCTCTGGTCTTTTCATCAGAAAGATTTGGAAGTCCCCTATTTCATTGGATGCCTGTCTCCTCCCCTAAAAGATTATACTCAGTTTTGCTGGGTAGTTGATCCTTGGTTGTAATCCAAGCTCCTTTGCCGTACAGAATATTGTATTCCATGCCCTCTGATCTTTTAACATAGGAGCTGCAAGGTCCTCCGTAATCCTGACTGTGGTTCCATCATATTTAAATTGATTCTTTCTGGCTGCTTGCAGTATTTTCTCTTTGATCTGGTAGTTTTGGAATTTAGCTACTATATTCTGTGGCATTTTCAATTTGGGATCTCTTTCAGGAGGTGGTAGGTGGTTTCTTTCCATGACTAATTTGCTCTCTGGTCCTAGGATCTCAGGGCAGTTTTCTTTGATGATTTCCTGGAGGATGTTGTCCAGGTTCTTTTTTTCATCATGGTTTTCAGGTAAACAATAATTTTTAAATTATTTCTCCTGGATCTGTTTTCCAGATCAGTTGTTTGACCAATGAGGTATTTTATGTTTTCTGGTATTTTTTCATTCTTTTGTTTCTGTTTGACTGACTCTTGCTGTCTCATACTTATTAGCTTCCACTTGCCCCATTCTAATTTTTAAGGAGTTGTTTTCTTCTATTACATTTTGTACCTTTTCCATTTGGCCCATTTTACTTTTTAAGGAGTTCTTCTATTCATTGAGTTTTTGTGCCTCCTTTTCCGTTTGGCCAGTTCTACTTTTTAAGGACTTGTTTTCTACAGTTAATTTTTCTCCTTCTCTTTCCAAGCTGTTGACTCTTTCTTGCATACCTCTCATTTCTTTTCCCAGTTTTTCTTCTGCCTTTCTTTATTTGACTTTTAAAATCCTTCTTGAGCTCTTCTAAGAAGGCTTTTTGGGCTTGAGACCAGTTCATATTCCCTTTGGAGGTTTCGTTTGTGAGTATATTAACAATGTTGTCCTCTTCTGAATTTGTGCCTTGATCTTCCCTTTCCCCAAAATAAGAATCGATGGTCATTGTCTGTTTCTGCTTTTTGTGCATGGTGTTTGCCTCTTTTCTGACTTTTTACAAAAAAAAAAAGAAAAAAGAAAACAACTGTTGAATTCTGCTGCAGTGAAGGGGGCACTTACCGAAGCTTCTTATCCTACTCACTGGGGCCTTGCACTTGAATGTTTGGCTCCTGGTCACCTGGGCTTTGCACAGGGATGTTTTGCTGCTGGTGAATTTCTGTCAGCCTGGAGCTTTCCTTCTGCAGTTGTGCTTCCCAGAGTTGTGTTGAGGGACTGGGTAATTTCACTGCTGGAGAACACTGTCGCCCATGGTCATTTCCCAAGTTGGTGTCTACCGGTTTCTCTTCCTGTATTGAGGTTCTCAGGGGTCCAGGTGGTAGCACTTTCTTTCCACCATGGGCCTCCAGATCTCCTCGTGGTGTGCTGAGGTGGAGCTTGCCGCTGGTTTGCTGGGATATCTCCAATCCTGTACTGTTCCCCTTCTCCCAGATCAAGAAAGGCCTTTCCTATTAATCCCCCCAAGCTTCCAGGGGTACAAGATTGCTGTACCCTGTCTTTTTGCTTCTTCAGGGTTTTTCTTGGGTCAATATTTTCTAGGCTTTCAGAAGTCAATGAGGGAGGGTAAGAGCAACTTACTTCTTGCTCTACCAGTCTTCCATTCTACCTTTCAAGATTTTATCTCACATGATTTCTTTCCATATGTCCTATACTTCAGCCAAATTGGTCCACTCACATTTGCTAATGTACCTCCATACATCAGGTTCCCTATATTTGGGATAGCCTCCCCTCCACCTTGAATTCCTACACGTCTTTTAAAGCCCATTTTGCCTTAAGCCTTAACAAAAATCAGCTTTGCAGATACTTACCTAGTTGCGCCATCAGGATGGGAACAAAGTCCTATGGAAGTGGACACAAGTCAGGTGGTACCAAGAGGTGGGAGAAGAAGATAAAAGAAACATGAGAGACAGTCTTCCCATTTCACAATTTTGTCTGAGACCTTCCCTGTCAGGTTATGCTGTTTGAGATGAGAACATGAGGGTGAAAAGACTCTTGATATCTGAAAAGATGACTCTATATTCACTGTCCTGCTACTCCATCTTGTTGTGATTGGCTGTTACCTTTTCCTGTGGGCACCAGAAGGAGGATGATCTCTTTTCTTTCTCTTCTGTTCCTCACAGCAGCTGCCGGGGATGAGGATGACTGGGATGAAGATTGGGATGACCCCAAGTCATCACCTCCTACTTATTTTAAGGATGTAGAGTCCACTGAGGCCGGAGGGGCCCAACGAGGCAATGCTCGTGCTGGTGGTGCTTCCATGAAGATTCCACTTAACAAGTAAAGTCAAAAAAAAATCTTGGCTATTTTAATCTTGAATATTAACTTGAAAGTTTATTTTGTAGGGGTGATTTTTTTTGAACAGTCTCTTTCTATTGAACTTAATGACATTTGAGAGGCAGCCTAGCTTAGTGTACAGAGCACTAGGTCTGGTGTCAGAAAGACCTAGGTTCAAATTCTCCCTCAGACACTGAGTGACCCAGGACAAGTCATTTAACCTCCCTGATCCTGAGTTTCCTTCTAAGCACAATGAGGGAGTTAGGGCTTCTAAGGTCCCTTTAAGCTCTAAGTCTGATCCTATTCTATAATCCTGTCATCTGAATCACTAGAATATTCAGAGATACTGTTAAAAACTCATTAAATATTGAGCTTTTCCTCATGATGTCAAATGAAAAAAAACTACAGCACATCAAGCTTAATTCCCGTTTAGTTTTCTTCCATGTTACTGATACTTTTGAAAGTGAATCACCATCGGGGGTGGCTGCTTTATGTTGCTGTTGCTGTTTAATTTACCTTTTTACCTGGTAGTTTGCATTTTTAATAAAATGATTGGTAGAACCATTCCTTATTGGGAAGATGTGGTAACATAGTGCTTTTTTATCATACTGAGATTTTAGGGTGAGAAACGCTGAGAAGTGTAATTTATGACTTTCTTGGGATTCAGCCAACGGTATTCCTCTGATGAACAACTTTGTGACTGATATTTACAAAAATCTCATTGATTTCATTTTAATCGTAGTATTCACAGTCCATTTTTCGGTGTAGGTGTCACAACGTTGTCCTATGTCTGAAAATCATTAAAAGCAACATAATAAAATTGTGCAATTAATGACTATGACCTGGGGCAGCCGGGTGACATACTGTATAGAGTGGCAGGCCTGGAGTCAGGAAGATTCATCTTCTTGGTTCAGATCTTGCTTCAGACATTTACTAGCTGTGTGACCTTGTGCAAGTCACTTAACCCTGTTTTCCTTGGTTTCTTCCGCTGTAAAATGAGCTGGAGAAGGAAATGGCAAACCACTCCAGTATCTTCACCGAGAAAACCCCAGATGGGGTCACTACAAGTCAGACACGACTGAAAAATGACTGAACAACAAAATTAAATAAAACACATAAGTTAGTAACTCTTACTTAGACTTCAGCCTCTTTGTTACCTCATTGTTTAAATTAGCATATTTTTGTCACATACATTTATTAAGCTCAGGTTCTATACCAGACCAAAGTGAAATAGTCTCCATCCTCAAGTCAGCAATATGTACGTAGGTAAATAAATATTAAAAAAATACACAAAATCATTTTGGGAAGGAGGGAGTGCTAGCAAATAAGAGAATCAGAGAGGGCCTAGTATAGGAGGTAGTAACAACTTATCTGAGAACATTACCGGCTCGAGGGAGGCCAGGATATAGGGATAGGAAATGGAATGATGAATAAAGGAAACAGCCTTGGGCTGCAACATGGAATTCATAGAAAGCAAATGAATATGTAAGAAGCCTAGAAAGGTCAACTAGTGCCATACTTTTAAAAAATTTGTCTTCTATTTGTGACATTGTTCAATTTTGTTTTTAATTACATATATACAAAATAAAGCCATTCACTGACAACTTGTTTTTAAAATGCGTTTTTAAAGTAGTAAATATAGTTAATAATTTTTATTGAAATTTTATTATTAAGATTCTGACAAATTTTTTTTCATATATTAAGCTAAAAGTAAGGGCTGTTTAAAGTCCCAGCAAGTTTAAATATGTCTTAAAAGACCACGAAAGGGTAGGGTTAACATTTAATTTTGTCAGTGGAATGAGGCAGTGTCATATATTGATGTTTTTCTGCTAAGTGAATTTCTACATGGGGAAAAAGAAAAACTTAAATCTTCCAGTGGTTTGAAAGCCTTCATTTTACAATGATTTTCTATTAAAAATGGCATTAATTTTATTTCTTTTGTGAACTATTAGGAGGCAGCTAGGTGGTGTAGTGGATAGAGTGCTGGACTTGGAGACTGGAAGACCCCAGTTCGAATCCTGCCTCAGACATTTAGTAGCTGTGTGACCCTGGGCAAGTCACTTAACCTCTATAAGCCTCAGTTTCCTCATCTGTAAAATGGTGAGAATAATACCACCTGTCTCACAGAGTTGTTATAAAGATCAAATCTGTTAGCACACATAAAGTGCTTTGGAAATTTTAAAATGCTATATAAATGCTTTTATTTTTAGTAGAGAAATACTCATATAAAATTAAAAGCTATCTTTCTCCAAAATAAAAGTTTTATTAGTTGCCCAGAAGGCAGAAAAAAGTACTGTAGCATTCCTCAAGTTGCTGTGTTTTGAGTTGGATGGCCGTCTTCCTTGTTAATTGCCAGTCATTAAATTACTTCTGGGTTATAATAGTTTCTTTAAAATTAAGATCAGTGGAAAAGAGTACCAGTATAAAAAGGATTGAGGATTATGAAAAGCAACTTAATGAAGTTATTTAAAAGATCTGAATTTTGGAAATGGCAGTGTGACTTTGAGTAAGTCACTTTGCCTATCTCTGAGATTCAGTTTCCTCATCTGTAAAATGAAGGTGTTGAACTCTGTGATCTCTGACGTCCTTTCCAACTCTAGAATTCTTTTTGACTCTAAGAGCTCTTCTTCTGTGGCTTATATTTTGTTAAATTTATAAAGTTAAGGTAATAACCTAGTTTCTTGCTGTTTGTCCATTGTTCTGGAAGAGGACCAAGACATCAGGGAGGTGATGCCATAATATGCAAATGAATTGGATTTAAGTGAGGGAGGGCTGTGCAAAGTGACCAGCCTCACTTTCTCCTCTGGAGTCATCTAGGTCCAGTGGCCAGATATAGATCAGGACTATTGGAGAAGCCCCAAGATGGAGAGGGAGACCTTGGCCTTTTTAAGCTAAGGTCTTTAACAGGGTCTCAGTTTGACTGAGACAACACCCATTCATTGATTAAGGCTAGGTAAGAAATGAGACAGAATGGCCTCTTTTACCTAATCAAAAAAAAAGAAAAGAAAGAAAAAGTAATCAAACTGGGTGGGAAAGACCCTCTAGGTTTCTGGCTAAAAGAGGAACAATTACTAATTTACATTCACTCTGAGCCATCCAGGGCCCAAACAATAACCATTAAGTAGTGCTTGAGTAGCCCCAATCAGTGAGAGCCAGAGTAAATTGGGTTTAAGGCTAGGTCATTAAAAAAGAAATCTAGGCAACTAGGGGGCACACTGGATAGAGCACTGGCATCCCAATTCTATATGCAGAGGGGCCCTGTGCATCTAAAGCTAACCCAAGTTATAGTTTGGGACTTGAGACAGAGAAGAAGAGCGGTTGGTTCTGTCTAGGACATTGTTGGAGCTCATGTGTATCTGGGGACAGAGGAGATAATAAAACTAACTTTCAAGTCCCCTGGACATTCAGGTTCTTTTTCCCAGCTTGAGAATTGACTCTGTTAGACCAGAGGATAAAGTCTGGTGCATCGATGCATCTTCCAGGTCCATTCCAAAGTAGACCTGCACTCCTAGGTCTCATTTGTGACTTAGTCCTTAGACTTTCCTAGAATTGACCCCTCTTTTAGAGAGTTAAGAATGTTTTAAATCATCTGATATTGTGTAAATCATGTTTTAATCTCTTAATGTACTATCAGCTAGTGGTATCTATACTAAAATTATTTAACAGTAAACATTTTAGCTTTGTGTATTAACATTTGCTTTCCAGCTTTGAGCCAACTTTCTGTTGGTTCTGTACTGATTTGTGGACTATAAAATGCTGAGTCAGATTAACATAAAGTCAAGCTCATTTTAGGCAATGTCACCTTTTTCTAAACGTAGCTACTCCTAAGACCAGAATGTGACCATTTTTGGTGAAGCCATAAAATGACATTTCAGTCATTCCAATTACATCCCAGTAGTAGGTTGGTGGGGATACAGAATGAGTAGTAGACAAGAACCTTGCTCTCAAGGACCCAGCAGAATATTGCAAAGAATATATTTCAGGCTAGGAAAGTGATTCCAAAGATGTGCCCGACAATGGCAACAGCAGTGTAATAGGTAAAGGAAAAGGGACCTTGATTGAGCGGAATTGTATTGTTTTAGTCAAAGAATCAAAGATGCCAGTATTGCTGTAAGGCAAAGATCTTTCCATACTAGAGAAGGCCTTTGTAATAAGAATTTTCCAAGTTAGCATGCTTTTATATAAATGAGAGCTACGTTATAATTATGACTTATTTGACAAATTACTGTCAAGAAAAAAAACCACCAAAGCTAAACACCCAAATAAAGGCATCCCCTTCTCAGTAGTCACCTTTGGGAGATTGCATGCTTGTGTCATGGCTGTTGATGTTGCTTTAAATGATCTTTGTAATAGCTATTTAAACCTGTAGCATGTCCAAATATCCAGTTCCCAAAGAAGCTTTCCAAAGATGTTTTGAGTAATGGGATTAACATTGGAATAATTTAATCATACCCCCACCCTGACCCAAATGCCAATTTCAAGAACACTCATTGAAATGCATAAGTCCTTGAACGCTTATTTAAATAAAATAATCAGTCTCCCTTCTTGTTAATCACACCTCAGCATGTGACCAACTCAGGCTTCTAAGAGTTCCCTGTGACCTGAATGAAATTTTACAAATTGTCCCATTGCCCCTTTATTGGGTGATAGAATTTTGTAGATTTAAGATAAATAGTGTTCCTGTAAATACAGCACCTTCTGGAATAAAACTATTTTCTTAGTAGCTGCAGCTTGATTAAATGGCTAATTGGCCATTGAGCGATCTGATCAGAATGGGTATCACTTACCACACCACTGTCTCTAGTTCATCCATCGGAAAGACAAAACAAGGTGTAAACTGTTTCTAAAAAGCAAATAGGAATAGGAGGATTTGAATTCTTATAAGGAAAGATTGGGGAACTCAACAGCATTTTATTCATTTATTTCTGTGATTAGATTTCCTGGATTTGCAAAACCTGGAATGGAACAATACTTATTGGCAAAGCAGCTAGCAAAACCCAAAGAGAAAATTTCCATCATTGTAAGTCTTTGGTTATTTTGTGGGGTTTTTTTTCCCTTCCTAAATAAGCTGTTTTAATGATAACTTCAATACTAAGAGAATTACATCCCCTAAATAACTGACATTATCCTTTAGTATTTAAGAATGCTAGAGATAATTCGGCTATTAGTGCCTTCATTTATGCTGTTTAGATCTGTTTTCTTTCTCTTTTTAAGACTATTAGTAAGAGTATACTAACTATAGATCACTTTGGAAAATCTTTTTTTATCAGACCTTTGAGATGAGTTGATAAGCTTAATTTTTATGCCTGAGTTTATAGCCTAGAAAAATAAACATGTAGTATCAAAACAGCACCTTCTCTAATGTCTATAGTAATCAGGCTTTTTTACCAGTGAGCCATCTGTAACATGAAGATAAGAAATGAACAAATTGAAAAAATGATATTTAATGATACCATTGAGGATATTAGTCTGTGTCCTTTACTTAATATTTACACAGCTCACACAAAAAGCATTGGGATTTCATCCACAAATTATGATGACAGATAAGAATGCCAAACAGCTCAGGACATCCCAGCTGTGTGTCCTAAAATAAATATATTTCAGGAATGGGAGCTGTGGATATATGCTGTCCCTATTCACTTACCCCATATTGGTATGATGACTGAAGAAGCCCTTATCATAATAACCGCAAGCCCCAAATGAAGATAGAGAACACCTTCTACCTTATTTCATCCTCTGTCTCAGGATCTTGGTGGAGGAGCAGAAATTATAAAACCCGTATTCTTCATTACTTGCACCCTTGATCTTTTGCTAAGCTTTGCGATTCTGTGAATTTCCAAAGTGGGAAAATGAATTTAAGATTTCTCAGCAGTCTGCTATTCCTAAAACCATGTTGGGAGCAAATGACCAGAGTTTGCCCTCGTTAGCCTACTACCGAGTCTCTGTCACCACCTCTGATAAGTGTGCCAAAGGCCTGAATTATGTCATACAAGTTCAGGGTAGGAAAATTTATTTTAAAGTTGCCTTTCCTAGTGAAGGTAAACTAGTAAACCCAAAAGCTTTCTAACTTAAATTTATGTGGAATTTAGAATAAAGACAAATTTATACTCATAAATCATTTTTTGAGTATGATTGTAATAAGGAAAAAAGATCTGACCCATGATATATGTATGTTACTTCAATGAGATGTATATAGCAAAGAGATTTCTACTTGGAAGGGACTTCTGTCCTGAAAGGAGAATTTTTAATAATTGACTGATTAGGATCTCTATGCTTCTCTGAAATGAAAATAATTTTTTGTGGGACATTCTGCATGCAGGTTGGAGATTATGGCCCAATGTGGGTTTACCCCACCTCTACATTTGACTGTGTTGTAGCAGATCCCAGGAAAGGCTCCAAAATGTATGGTTTGAAGAGTTACATCGAGTATCAATTAACAGCCACTGTAAGTGCCTCAAACACTTGTCAAAGCTAGAAGTGTCTTTCTGTTCACACTTCTGGTTCATTTTTCCAACTCTTTTTGTACGTGATGTTCATCTGTTTGTTTTTCTCTTTCTCTGTTCTTATATTACAGAACACTAATCGATCTGTTAACCACAGGTATAAGCACTTTGACTGGCTCTATGAGCGTCTTCTGGTTAAGTTTGGGTCAGCCATTCCAATCCCTTCCCTCCCAGACAAGCAAGTTACAGGTGAGTATATTGCAGACCTGAGCCCAGCAATCATAGAACAACTTGGAGAGAGGAGAGACTGCTATGTAACCAGTCTTTGGATTTGAAAAAGGCACCAGGGAAATCGTAATGTCCATAGCAGCCAGGTGGTGCCACCATGCACAGAGCCCTGGGCCTGGAGTCTGGAAGACTCCAGTTGGAACCCTGACTAGGATACTTAGTAGCTGGACAAGTCACTTGACCTCTGTTTGACTCAGTTTCCTTATCTGTAAAAGGGGGGTTCATAATACCACCTCCCTCCCAGGGTAATTGTGAGGGTAAAATGAAATAGTATTTGTAAAGTACTTAGCACAATGCCTGGCATGTAGTAAGTGCCTTATAAATGTTAGCTATTATAATTGTTCTTATTGTTATCTTACTCATTATTATTTCAAATAGAGATATCATTTGGCTTTTCCTTACTCTTGTGAAATAGTAGTGGAAGCTGCCTGGAGGAGCAGAATATGTAATTTGGAAGAAATTCTTAATGGGAAGTCCATCATTATCATTTATTATTGCTATTATTATTTTAAAGCCTGGAAACTCTGAGGCCCTCCTGATCTTTCTCAGGGGCCTTCAAGGAGTTTTAGTGAAACAAAAGTATAACCATATCTTAAAGATGTGGAGGCTAGCGGATGAGCTTAATGTTAATATGCATATGAAGTTGTTCTTATAATTCTCTAGATTTTATGTGTCACTGTTGCCATCTCCCTTAAAAAAGGAAGGAAAAAATAAAATCAGTTCACATTTACAGAGGGCTTTAAGGTTTTACGGAGCACTTTTCTCTAAGTAAGGAAGGTAGGGCAATAATTAATTGCTCCGTTTTACAGATGAGGAACTTGAGGCCTAGACTCAGGTGGCTCAGCTGTGGTCACACAGTACTGTCAGAGTCTAGATTTGAACCTAAATGCTATGGCTGTAAGTCTGTTGTCCTTCCGCAACACCAGATTGCCTGTCACCAAAAGAGAAGGGGAGGGCAGGGGTGGAGGGGATTGGAAGGGAGGCCAGTATCTCAAAAAAGAAAAATATTCTTTAAATTTTAAAAATTATTTCTTTAATTTTATAAAGACTGTCTTTCTTTAAATGATTTTATGGTATCTTTTAACATACAATAAATATTTCTGTAATATAAAACAGTATAAAATATAATAATGTAACAAATTTAATTATAATAGTGATTCTCCAACATACTTTTCATTAACAAGGTGCAGAAATCCATGAAAAGTATTCTAATTGCTCTTAATATAAAAACATTTTTTCAACTAGTCAAGAATTCACTTGAGTAGAAAACTATGGCTCTCTCTAAAATGGTAATAGTTGTGCTCCACTTTGAAGAACACATTTTAGCTTCTTTTCAATCTAATTATTTTAATCTGAACACAAAGCCCACCTTAGCTTTTTTTTTCCCTGATCAAAGCTAGTTTATGTATTTCTTCATTGTCTTAAGTTAATTTCATTTTTATATACACATTTGTTTGAATTCGTTTGACTGTTCTGAATCTGTCTCTCTCTCTCACACACACACACACACACGCACACACACCTCCCAAAGTAGCAGGATTTACTGGGCTAATTTTTGTGTGTATGGTGGCATTGTTTTTTGGTTTTTGTGGGTTTTTTCAAATGTAAGTCTGGGTTTTCATCAGGAATCAAACAGTTAATGTAGAACAGTTATTTCATATACAGTAAATGGTATTTTTAAAGCAGGGTGGGTTCCTCCATCCCAACCCTCCCAATGCTGTGACTCAGTGTTTTTTTTAAGGGCAGGCAGCCAGCCAGCCAGCAGTGTGCCACTTGAAAGCAACAGCCCCTCTGTCTGAAGAAAGATGAGCATTGATTCACTGACCCCGGGATACATGCTGAGGAAACTGAAAAGCCCGGAAGTGACTTTCTTTTCCCCCCTTACCCTGTTAGCCTCCTGCCCAGAATCCCCCTAGCATCATTATAGTATATGAAAATACTCTCATCACTTAAACACTCAGTACACACAGTGAGTGGCAAGGAGATGATGAATTGGCATTTCTGTACACTTCAGGATTAATCCATGAAGAATTCAACTGATGTTAATCTGAATTCTTTTTTGCTTGTTTTGAGATTGAGTTCTTTATGAGATATTATGAATGAGGCATTTTTGTTCCTTGGTCGTGCCAAGTATTCATTTGTTTTGTGAGATGATTAAATGAAGCTCTTTGAAAATAGGAGAAATGGAAGTTACCTTTTGATGAACTCTGTAAGTCTTATTTTAAAATGCTGCTGGTCAAAGAGTTAGGTCATAGTTGAGACATACTTACTTTGCCAGGAAAATGAGTTCAGGGTAATTTTTGGTAGAAATGGACATTAATCTACTGCTAGTGATTAGGTAAATGGACTGTTTCTTTAGTGCTTTCCTTCCTAATGTGGAATTTGATACAACATGATTCCATGTTGAACTCCAGAGTTCATTATTTAAAACCTTTAAGAAAATGGTATTGCTTCCCTGAATCTCTCTCCAAGAGAAATACTCTTGCTGTTATTTAAGCAGTTTTATTTTGGTTTTGTGAGGTTTACACTGACCTGGGACTTTTCCCAGGGATGAAGGGATGTCATAAAATATTGTGTGCAGGCTACTAAAGGGAGATTCATAGACATCGCTGTAATTAAGTGTGTAAATCATTATAATCCGGTGGCATGAATGTAAGGGCCATCTTACATCAAAAAGGAACCCCCTTGAAGTCAAAGAATCTTAAGTGCCATGTTTTTTAAAAAATTCTTTGAACTATATTTTCAAAGCAAAACCAAGCCGCTATTTTGTTTTTATTTCTGTAGATACGAGGATGTTAGTTAATGAGGTAAAGTAGTTAGCACTTGGGGAAAAAAAAACCTTAATATTATAGTTGCTTAGTCTTAATTATATATAATACCCACTTATAATAACTTCAGAATGCCCAAGAGAAATTCATTTAATGTGTAGATAAATGAACTGTACCCCACTGAAAATTCCATTTTTAACAGTTCTTATTCTTGACAACAAGAGGAAAAAATTCTATAGATTCAGTGAGGGATTCAGAGTAAAAATGAACATTGCATGGTATTTTTTCCTCCAGTTGATATTAATCGTTGAGTCATGAAGAATTTAATAGATAAAAGGGGACGTTAGTAAATAATAACTGAAATTATTTATAAAGGGCTTTGAGGTCATTTTACATTAATTATCTCATTTGAGCTTCACAAAACAGTGCCACTACTACAAGTTGTTATTGAAAATCATCTGAATCAGCCATTTCATTTTGCCATTGAGGAAGGAGCCCAAGAGGGAAAGTCAGGTTGTAAAGAATCCATGCGAATCAATACTGAATTTCTCTAATAGAAAACTTGAGCATAGAACTGTCCAAAATCATGGTGTCAGTTGCTGGCAAAGCCTCAGTGTATATAGTAACCTACAGATAAGCTTGTTATTAACCATTTAAGTTACCTCTGCATCCACAGCCAAATAATAAATATTCACTTGTGTATAATGTAGTGGCAGACATATTTCAGTTCTATGTGGATTTCTGTCTTCTGTTGAAATAGTCAAAAACAATTTAGCTCTTGATTTTCACACACTATTTCCTTTTGATACTACAAAAAATTTCATCATTCCCTCAGTCCATGCTTCGCCCCCCGCCCCAGTTTTGTTGTTGTTGGGTTTTTTTAGGCAGTTGGGGTTAAGTGACTTTCCCAGGGTCACACAGCTAATAAGTGTCAGGTGTTTGGTCTGAGGCTGGATTTGAACTCAGGTCCTCCTGACTTCAGGGCCAGTGCTCTGTCCACTGCACCACCTGGCTGTCCCCCATCCATTGCTTTTTTGGCTGATTGATCTTGACTGCCCCTCCATTTATAGGCAAGAAGGCATCCTTTTTAAGCATGCGGTTTTGGAGTCTTCATCCACAAAATCTAAGGAAGTATTTCCCAGTAGGGCTTTTGTTCATGGTTAGGTATTTTTAGTTTTCAAGGCAGTTTCTAAAAAGCAAAAGGAGAAAAACGGTGCATTTCTGCATTGGTTCCTGTGGTATTTACATAATTCTTGTGTTTATAGAAAATGATCACATGCAGCATGTTTGACAGGTTGATTTCTACAAATATAAAAATTTGGTGCAAATTGTAAGAATAGCTTGCTGAATTCCATTTTAAATTTGTTTTCTGCTCCTATAACCTTGTATTTATTACTTCTTTGTGAGTGTGTATGTGTAAGAGAGAGGGTCACAGAGAGAGTGAGAGAGAGACAGAAGTTACGTTCTGTTACTTACTTTTACCCAGGAACTGGCATAATGTTAGTGGCAAGCTCCATTAGATTCAATTACAGTTTAGTCAGAGGTCCTGAGTACTTTGGAGGTCCTTCAAGAAAATAGCACTCAGGCTGTGATTATTGATTCTGCAGATACAACAAGGTGGCATATTGTGTTGCTGAATGCATTAGTGTTAGCAAATGCATTCCATTTTCAAAAATTCACAAAAGAGCCTTTCTCGTTCTTCCCCCAGGATGGACTTTGAGGACTCAACTAGTAGTTTGTGTTTTAGCCTAGCTAGAAGTTCCCATGGGGGCGGGTTGTTTTCTCTTCTAATCAATAGTTTTTGCTTTTTATTAACCAGCTACATAAACGGCCTTTCCATTGTTGCTAATAACTAACCATGCCTTGGGGCAAAGCTGCATTATTTATCCCAATGTGACTCTTCTAGGTCGCTTTGAAGAAGAATTTATAAAGATGCGAATGGAAAGACTGCAGGCATGGATGACTAGAATGTGTCGTCATCCTGTCATCTCAGAAAGTGAAGTTTTCCAGCAATTCTTGAATTTCCGGGATGAAAAGGTAGGAAATGACTTAATACACGCTCTTTCAGATATCGAACAGCCAGGTTCAACAGCATCCAAAAGGCCACGGCTTTAGTAGTTGCTTTTAATGAGTGCAGCATGGGAACTTGTCTCCTGATCATCTTTTAAAACACAAGAAGCAGCGAGGTGGCCCAGTGGATAGAGCACCACCCCTGGAGTCAGGAGGACCTGAGTTCAAATCTGGCCTCAGACACATAACACTAACAGCGTGGCCCTCAGCAAGTCACTTAGCCCTATTGCCTAGCCAAAAAAAGGGGAGGGGGCAAGAGATCAGTTGCTCATAATGTATTACTATCAGTTTTGGAAATGGTTTTTCCTCTAAGGAAAGTTGTAAAGCGTTCTTGGAGCGAAACTTAAGATTGCTATTTCTTTCTTGGGAAATGTCCAGTGTGTTCTAAAAACAGAACAAGTATTGCCTTTTTCATACTCTTTGACCTAAGAAATCCCGCTAATGATCATTTATCTCAGACAGATCAAAGACAGAAAGTGTTCTCTTGCATAGCTAGCTAGCTACGTGGAGAGATCACATGATGCATATAACATAATACGTGAGTCATAACACGATATTTAATATGTGTGTGAGAGATATAGCTAGCTATATAATTAATAACCAGGACTGGTCATTGTAATTACTCAAGAGTTTAGCTTTATTTAAGTGTACTTTAAAGCTCATATTATCATTCATAAAATGTACATTTTATATAAATATAGTCAGGCAACACTGTATGGTGTAAAGAACTGGAAATAAAATGATTGCTCACTGGCTGAGGAATAACTAAACTGGCATGTGATAGAATGAACAAATAAAAAAATATTTTTTAAGCATTTCTTGTCTTTTCAAGCACTGTGCTTTGTTCAGGGGATGCAAATAGAAAAACAAAACAATCTTTGCTTTCAAGAATTTCACCTTCTCTTAGGGAGACGTGACACCTATAGAAGGGTCTAGCTACAGGAAAAGATGGCATTACTTATGGCAGGCATCTTTACAGTAGATAGTAAGACCATCCATTCTATCCAGTAGTGGAATATTATAAATGACAAAAATGAGGAATTCAGAGAAACATGAGATTTTTCTTAACTGATGCGTATTGAAATAAGCATAGCCAAAATAAAAATATACCCGTTGCTGTGCATTTTACTTAGAATAGTGTAAATTCTAAAACCACTAAAAGGAAAGTTGTACCCTTGGGTATTTATAACAACAGCCTTAGTCCCAGAGAACTTATGCAAAAACAGAATATTGTATATGTTTTCAGAAATGGACACTATCAGTTGGTTTTTCTCAACTCTTTTTTTTTTCTTTTGCTAGAAGGGAGAGGTCAGTTCCAAGGACGGAAGTTGTGGGCAGTGGGGTTGATCAGTATTTTAAAAAAGGCATCAGTGAAAGTCTTGCAAAGAAGAAAAAGTATGATTTATATCAGAAGCAACAAAATATGGATGAAGTAGATTAAATCCTATAAAATGAATCCAATTACTTTGGCCTTTTTAGAATACAGTTGCAGAAATTTCAATAGCAACAACCTTCTTGAGTCTTGAGAGCTCCAGTATTCTAGCTGACTTTTTTTTTTTATTGGCACATTTTGGTTTTAATCCTCTCCTACCCAGTAAGCCATCCCTTATAACAACAAAAATTCAGAAGAAGTAGGTCAGGAAACTAACCTTCATAGTTCCACCTTCTTCCCCCAACACCCCCCACCCCACCCCACCCCATATCTTCCTCAAGACAAGGGAGGTACATTTTCTTATTATTTCTTCAAGGAGAAACTTGCCAACATGAATTCTTGTCTGGATACTGTCTCTCAGTAACTGTGTTGAAGCCATAAGCACAGAGCTCTTAAATGATGCCCAGGTGTCTTCATTTGAAAATGAAAATGGATTAAATAATTTTTAAAGTCTCTTCTAGCCCTAAATTGCTAGGAATTTATCATTGGGTGGTTTGGGTTTTTTTGTTTTTTGTTTTTTTCATTTTCACCTGAGAAAATCCACTAGCTGACTTCTTAAGAAGCATTTCTTGTTAGGTGAACACTTGATTACAAAACATATTTATGAAGCCAAATTAAGTATTCTGTCTTCTCTCACTGGTTTGTGTATGTATGCATGCTGTGAGGAAATGAGAAAACAATGGGGTCCTTCATACTTGTTTGTGTGTTTACATACTATGAGTGATGTCTGCAGGTTGCTATAGGAAATCTTAATGGTGTACTTAAACCGATGTGATGATTTTCTCAAATGTGGCTTATGAAAATTGATCTCAAAATTTTACAGTCATGTCATGTTGAATCTATATTTAGAACTGGAAGGGACCTTATGGATGGGGTAGGCAGTGTGGTGTATATGGTGTGGTATATGTGAATGGAAGGCCAGGCTTGGGAATGGGACCTGAGTTTAGATGTGGCCTTTGGATGTCTCACTTTGTAAATCACTTCAGCTTTGAGTGCCTCGTGGTCCCAGAGGTTAGAATGTATCAGCTATCACAGTGAGAGCATTCTGATCTGTGTTATTTGTTGAAATTTCCCAACCTGGACAAAATTACAGACCCTTGAAGTATAGAATGATAGAATTAAAAGGGATGTTAGAGGTTGCCCCATGCAGGACTCTTTTCCGCAACATCTCTGAAAAGCATGTATCCTGTCTCAGCTTGAACTTCCAGGGATAGAGAGCTCAGCCTCTCATGTCTCAGCTTTGCACAGCTCTGAGATTCATTAGGGATTTCTTGTCCACTCTTTGAGCCTTTAAGATTCTTTTGGATCCCAGTTCTGTCTTCCAGCATAAGAACTGTCTCAGCTTTGTCATCTTCTAGTTTATCAGTTTCAGCTGATAAATTGGGTAGCTAGGTGGCACAGTTGATAGAGTGCCCAGCCAAGAGGGAGTCAGGAAGATTAATCTTCCTGAGTTCAGATCTGGCCTGGGCAAGTCACTTAACCCTGTTTGCCTCAGTTTCCTCATCTGTAAAATGAGCTAGAGAAGGAAATGGCAAACTACTCCAGTATCTTTGCCAAGAAAACCCCAAATGGCGTCACAAAGAGTTAGAAATGATTAAACAAAAACAACTGCACTGGATTACCTCCCCCACTTAAAGCAACTCGACCATCTAGAAATATACGTGGCAGCCAGCAACTGGCCCACATTTCTCCATCTTTTCTACAAAAGTGTCCTAAGAGATTTTGTCATTTGTCTTGTTGAAATCCAGATATACCATGTCTGCAAAGCAGTACATTAACTCAATTTTAAAAAAAAGAATTGAGTTCTGTGGAATTTATGAAGTACCTATTAACATGTAAGAAACAGTTCTAAGCCCTTAGTAATGATAACTGAGTGTTGATATAATCCTCTAAGATCTGCAAAGTGCTTTGCAAATATCTCATTTTATCCTCATCCTCAACAAGAGCCGTGGGATATCAGTACTATTTCCATTTTACAGATGAGGAAACTGAGGCAGATAGCAGTTAAGTGACTTGCCCATGATCAAATAGCTAGTAAGTGTCTGAAGCTGGATTTAAACTTGGGTCTGGCCTGACTCCAGGCCCAGGGCTCTATCCACTATACCATCTAGCTGCCTCATACAAAAATGAGTAAGATTCCATTGTTAAGATGCATAGGATCTAATTGTTGTTTCATGATTTTTCAGTAGTGTCTGACTCTTCATGGCTCCATAATCTAATTATCTGGGATAAAATACATACCCAAAGATAATAAGTAAAGTGAAAGTGCGTTAAAGAGAAATAAAGAAAATATGTTAAGAGTCTGATGAAATGAAAGATCAGTTTAGGCTGGGGAGATGAGGGAAGGCTTCCTGGAGGAGATCATAAGTGTTTGGCAGGGTTTAAACCCAAATCTTCCCAGTTCCCAAGTCTCGCACCCTCCACTGTGCCACAGTGCTTACAACGTATCTGTTTAGTAATATACTCTCGATTATTTTAAATCAGGTTATGATTTAAATTTAGAAGGAATGTTACCCCTGTGCAAATAGAGAGGCTGTTACTTTTCAGTTAAGAGGCTAAAGGTCCAGGGTGGACAAATCTCCATCCGTCTTCTGCTTTTGCTGCTGTTGGCTGCAGGGATGCCCTGAGAACAAAAGGGACAAATTCTTTGTGCTCGCTCCTTTACATTATAATGTTCTTATTTCTAGGAATGGAAAACTGGGAAGAGGAAGGCTGAAAAAGACGAGCTGGTGGGTGTTATGATATTTTCAACCATGGAGCCAGAAGCCCCGGACCTGGACTTGATAGAAATGTAAGCCACGTTATCTTGGTTTCCATCTCTCAGTCTGTTTTTTTTTTAACCTCCCATGGGATGGCAATCTAGACCAAGTTGATAATGACCTGAAATCAAACTGGATGAATGGCCTCTATAAAATGGGTTAGGAATGGAGTCTGTGTTTCATCAGAGTTAGAAGGGATATCATCATAGCTGACGTTTATATAGCTCTTTAAGAAATGCACATCACTTACACGTGTGTAATCTCATTCGATCCGTTTGATCCAGTTTCTTTTTTTTTTAATGTCTAAGGAAACTGGGACCCATATGTCCCATGCCATCCTCCCATTTTCATTCTAAATTCAGTAATGATGATGGTGGTGAGGAGTGGCAGGGCCCAGTCTTCAGACTCCAGATGCAGTGTTCTCTCTCCTTAACTTTTTGTCTAGACCAGAGGTCAGCAAACTGTGGTCAGCCAGCCAGTGAGCTAAGAATGTAAATGAAAGTTTTGTTTTGTAAATTTGTAAACCTGTGAGCTTTTATTGTCTTTAAAAATGTAAAAACTCTTTTTAGCTCACAGGTACAAAAACAGGCCAGCTTCTGGGCTAGAATTTACAATGATGGAGTATTTAAGTGATGGAGAAAATGTTAATAGTGCAAATTAAACTTAAAAGTATGTACTGTTTACTTTTTTTTTTTTGATAGCCTCGTGTTAAACATTTACCAGCACAACATTGCCTCCAGGGTCCTCTACAGCTCTGAGTTTACAGAAGCAACACATAGGGTTCTCAGTTTCCTTATGTATAAAATGGAGATATTGGACTAAATGAATCAAATGAGATAGTATATGTAAACAGGGAGGGCTAGTTGGTGAAGTAGATGAAGCACCTGGCCTGGAGTCAGGAGGACCTTTGGACTCTTACTAGCTATGTGACCCTGGGCAAGTCACTTAACCCCGATTGACTCAGAAACAAACAAAATAATGTAAATAGTTTGAAAACCTTAAGGCTCTGTATACAAATTAGTTATCAAGGGAGGTAGTGGTGGTAATATTCTGATGTCTCTTCCAACTCTAAAATCTTATGATCCCATGTGAACTAAATCCCTTATGAACTAACCATGGTAAATCTAACTGGAAAAAGAAAAGGCAAGTTTGCTCCCACCCTGATTTGTCACCATAACTCACAGGTCCATCTCACTTTCATTTTCTCCTTTAAAGTTTGATGCTTTGATGACTGGCACAGTGTTTAACAACAGTTTCATGAAAGGATTATTAGAATGATAAAGCAGTATGGAACCAACAGATAGCTACTTTATCTTCACCAGGACAAAAAAACCTGTTGTATATTTGCCTTGAAAGAAGCAACCCTGAAGCTCTTTTTTTTCCCCCTACATGCTTTTTGTAAGAGCTTGTAAAAAGTATCTTATCTCCTATAGAAAATAATACTAGCTAGCAATTTGTATGGTGAATTCAGGTTTGCATAGTGCGTTACAATATTATCTCATTTGATCCCCACAACCTACTCTGGGAGGTAGGTGTAGTTATTGTCCCTATTTTACAGATGAGAAAACTGAGGCAGACCAAGGTTAAGTGACTCACCCAGGGTCACAGAGCCAAGACGTACCCATGCCTGGATTTGAACTCAGGTCTTCCTGACTCGAGAGTCCAGCACTGTCTACTTTGTGGACACTGTGATTAGGACTTAAGAAATAGTTCTTTTGTTTGTGAAAGAAGCAAAGAAATCTTAGAGTCTTGAGTGTCAAACTCTCAGGACAGTGAGTGGTCTATTCAGAATTGCTCTATTCTGACAGCACCAGAGATGATTCATTTATAGTTGTGACAGATTGGGGTGTGTTGATTTCATAGAATTTCATCTTAAAGAACCAATAAACCATTTACCTTTGGCTAACCTTGGTTATCACATTTCCAGGTGATGATGGAAAGAACAAGATTTAAGTAAAAAGTGGGAATATTATGATTTGGCCAAGTGAGCTGCATGTGCAGGCCTCTTTGGGAATTTAGCCGTCATGTTTTCTTTATGCCATTAAAGCAGAAATTGTGTGCCTTTTGTGAAATGAGGGCTTGTATTCAGTATTAAAGTAGTGATGGTGTACTTTATGCCATATAAGCTTGAGTGGTAAACAGTGCTTGGTTTTTTAATGGGCCTTAAATTTACGTGGGACTTTTTTGGAAGTGGCCCAGAATTAACGTATCTTTTTAATCTTTCTGGCTTCTTCAGAAGCAGCATGGGGAGAGGTAGCCACTCCTCTCGTTTTCAGATAGGGAATGCAAAACACAAAGATGGCTCAGGTAGGGTCGCATGGGTGAATGGATCAAAGCCCAGATTGACGTCATCCTCTAAAAACCATTGTATATGCATTGCTAAATTCACAAATATTTGAGCATTAATTTCTTGCTATATCATACCGAAGACTGGAGTGCATATGATCTTGTCTGAGCTCCTATCCAGTCCACTTTGGAGATGACTATATCTGGGTTTGGTACATCAGGAGGCAAAGATAATGGACAGCCAAATTCTCATCACTTTGTGGGTTGGTCCCCTCCTCCCAATGTCTGCTCATTCCCTGCTCCACTGTATTTCCACAGAGGACAGAAAGTAACTCAGTTTTTTTCCACTTCTGAGGATGATTCTAGATTATGGTATCACTTACCCTGCTTCATTGAAACTGGTTAGGTTCTTCTCTTGATCACTTCAAGAAACAAGTATTCTGATTCTGCAGTGTTTCTGTCGTATAATTCAGTGAACAGTTTATAAGCCCACCAGCAGCTACATCTGCAAACAGTAGATAGCTCATGTTAGTAAATTACTACCAAAATGAGCTGTTAAGGGGCAGCTAGGTGGCTCAGTGGATAGAGCACCAGCCTTGGAGTCAGGAGCGCCAGAGTTCAAATGCAGCCTCAGACACATAACACTGACTAGCTGTGTGACTCTGGGCAAGTCATTTAACCCTAATTGCCTCACTAAAGAATAATAATAATAATAATAGAATTAGTAGATAAAGAATTTTAATAAATGCATTGAATAAATGACAGGTGTATATATTTTGTTACTTGGTCTGTCACTGTTATACTGAATAATTGAGAGGGGACTCTGGGCTTTGAAAAAAAAATGGGTCATGGGTGAAAAGTATTCCTTCTCCATGGGGAGAGGCTGATAGACCCCAAAGAGAATGTTAGCGGCTGTTTTCCACCAGTGTGTCCAGCTGTTTCGCGCAGTTGGCAGGGGTCAGGCATGGTTTACGCGCAGTCCTAACCCACCAGGGAGCCTCCTCATCTAACCAGTCCGTGGATTGTTGTCTCTGCTTCACAGAGAGCAGAAATGCGAGGCTGTTGGTAAGTTCACCAAGGCCATGGATGACGGAGTCAAGGAGCTGCTGACAGTGGGACAGGAGCATTGGAAGCGGTGCACAGGACGTGAGTCTCACTTCAGGCATTTGTTGACACTTGTTTGCTGTTATTTTTGTTTGTTTGAATTTTTGACACATTCATAAACTCAGTGGCCCCAGAAGAACATTGGGTAAGTCTGCTCGAGTGGTTTGAAATGATAGTGCATTGAATAACCTGGAGTCACAAAGACCTGAATTCAAATCCTGCCTCAGGCATTTGCTAGCTGCGTTACCCTGGGCAAGTCGTGTAAACTCTGGCTGCCTTGGTTTCTTCGTCTGTAAAATGGGGATAATAGTAGCACTATGTCCTAGGGTTATCGTGAGGTCAAAATGAGATAATGTTTGTAAATCAAATGAGATGTCTGCAGAAGTGTTTAGCACAGTGCCAGGCATGTAGTAGGTGCTACATAAATGCTTATTCCCTTCCCATTCTCTTCCCAAAACTGCTCTGCAAACCTTGAAGTTGTTGTTGTTGTTGTTGTTGTTGTTGTTGTTTTTAGCCTGACAACTTCGAGCTTTCCACGCAATACGTAGTTAAATTGTAGTCGGTAATGCTAAAACTATTAATTCTTCATGAGTCTAAAATCAAAATGGTGGTGCTTAGAGTTGCTGTCTCACAGTCTTGCTTTGAGGTCCAAATGAGATCGTATAGGACTTAGCTGTCCTATAAATTGCTCTAAATTTTACAAAGTGCTGAAATTTTGTAAGCGCTTTGTGACAGCTAAGGCTGCTGTTCTTAGAGTCAGGAGGACCTGAGTTCAAATCCACCTTCAGACACTAGCTGTTTGACTCTGGGCAAGTCTCTTAACCCCAGTTCCCTTCTTCCCCCAAAAAAGACATTGTGGTTACTCCTCTTTAACCCATGGGGCTGTGTGCTCCTTGAGAGCAGAGACTGGAGTTTTTTGCCTTTCTTTGTATCCCCAGAGCTTAGCACAGTGCCTGGAATAGAGTAAACACAAGAAATGCTTGTTCACCTTGACTCTCTACATGTGTAACAATTTCTGTAGGATTTGCTGAGAATGCCCAGAAGACTTAAAAATGACTTACTCTGACTTTGGATAGTATAGACAGAGACAATTTAGATCTCTGATGCCCTTCTGGGGTTTTCTTTGTTTTTCTTTTTGGTGAGGCAGAACATCTTACTGAACAGAGCATAAGAGTTGTTGAGAATCAGAAATAGTTCTGTTTTGTTTTGTTTTGTTTTTTAGGCAGTTGGGGTTAAGTGACTTGCCCAGAGTCACACAGGTACTAAGTGTCAAGTGTCTGAGTTCGCATTTGAACTTGGGTCCTCCTGACTCCAAGGCCGGAGCTCTATCTACTGCGTCACCCAGCTACCCCCAAAATCTTCTGTTTGCCTTTTTTTGGAGGGGGAGAGGGCGGTTAGGGTTGAGTGATTTGCCCAGAGTCACACAGCTAGTGAGTGTTGTGTCTGAGGCCTGATTTGAACTCAGATATCCTCCTGACTCCAGGGCCAGTGCTGTATCCACTGCACCTTCTAGCTGCCCCCTCTGATGCCCTTCTGAAGAGTAATTGTTGCATTGCATACTTTTTTTTCTTTTAATTAACACAAAACACTGAAGGAGTTTTGCCTATATGCCAAATACCCTGAAAAGCTGTTCTGTATTCTCTGAGGGGAACTCTCTATTATCTGGTACCATAGTTATAGTACAATGATAGCTGATACTGTCAGACATTTTGAAATTCTGAACCACTAAAGAGATATGTAATTATGTTAAGGATAGTAAATGGATTCTTAATATCCTCCATTTCTTTTTTTGTTTTGTTTTGGCTAGGCAATGGGGTTAAGTGACTTGCCCAGGGTCACATAGCTAGTAAATGTTATGTGTCTGAGGCCAGATTTGAACTCGGGTCTTCCTGAATCCAGGACGGGTGCTCTCTCCACTGCACCACCTAGCTGCCCAATATCCTACATTTCTTTAAGAAACAAATGCATCTCATCTATCATGACCATGCCCTCTCTGCCAAAATTTAATCAGAATACCCAATTCTCTAACCCTTCCTTGGGAAACTGAGAGTTTAATAAGTTTTTCTATTTCCATCGATGGGAATTAATCTATTTTACCACATGGATTTTTTTGTGGTGTGCTTTTTTTTTTTAATCAAGTGATTTTTCGATAGATGAGAGAGTATACACAATGCACTTTTTTCACCTCAGTCTCTAAGATACCATGCATGTGCTTGGCTGTATTCGTACAATTTCTAGAAATAGCCTGAAAAAGTCAAATTACTTATAATAATTATAATAATAATAATAGCTAGCACTTATATAGCTCCTACTATGGCACTTTGCATATAAAGTAGAAACGTATGAGCACAATTCTAGAAGAAGCTAGAGAGGCAAAATGTCCCTTCTTTCCTACTGCCAGAGGAAGTGGCTCAAGGAGGGGAAAGGGCAGTGAGAAAATAGGCAGCTCTGGTAATAATGACCATGTAGTATAATTACATCTCAGACCTAGATTTACGTGCAAGTCACTTCATCGAAAATGAGCTCTTGAGAGCTCACACAAAGCTGGGAATAGCAGCAGCCAGAAAACTGTTAGCTTGGTCCCCTTAGAGGAGAATTGACCTTCCTCAGCCATGTCTCGGCTGACCTATTGAGATGGGCCTCCTAAGACTTAAAGGTGAAACTGGAACCGCAGTTTTCCAGTGCAGGAGCCTGATGCTACCAATTTCTGGAGCAGTACGGCTAGTATAGGAATTATTTTATATCCTTCCAATAATACACAAGGGCATGTATTGCAAAGAAATACTGGTGGTATTCTTAACCAGAAGAGTATATGGATAATTTCTTGTTACTTTGGTACTCAACAGAAGACCAAGTTGGGTCATCTTTGTTTGTATTAAAAGAAAAAGGTTCTGGGTTTTTTCTGAAACTTAAGATGAATCAGAGTTAAGTGGGGTTTTTCCAAAACTAAGATGAATCAGAGAAGTGTTTTTAAAAAAATTAGACGCTAAGCATGGAATGTTATATTAATGAACAAGTTAGAAATCAAGCCCCCACCCCCACTTTTTTAATCTTCCTTTTGTGTTCTTCCCCCATTAGATTGTAAGCTCCTTGAGGGTGGGGACAATCTTTTTCATATTTGTATACTCTGAGCACAGTACCTGGCACATGGTAGGCACTTATTAAATGTTTTCTGACTGACTGATGGATAAATCTGTTGTAAAAGTAGTGGCACAATTGGGATCTTTTTTAAAAATATTGAAAAGAGGTAACATGTTGCATTTGTGATGTACTTACTGCTTTTTCAAGACACTTTTAAATAGTCACATTTTATCAGGAAAAAAAATCACTTAGGATTTGCTGACAAGCCAGCTGCCCCTGCCTGAGGGACATCTGTCAGAAGTAATGACAGCTTTACTTCTGTCCCATGGCAAAGAGAACTGATGATATATTCTGAATACAGAAATTAAGTCTGAAAAGTCATGTCAGCAACTGTTCAATCTAAAAAAAAAATCCATGCTTTTGGCCACAATAAATAACTCTTGTAGACAAAAGAAAATATTTTTATTTTTAAAAAATGCTATATGGCAGTGTACCCACAGTTCCCTGAACTATTAAAGCATATCCTTTGTGAGACAAGTAGTACAAGTACCCCCAATTTACAGATGAGGAAGCTGAGGCTCAGAGAGATTAGTTGATTTGGCTAGGGTGGCACAGCTGATAGCAAGTAGTAGGTATCTTGCTACTCACCAGGGTTCAGTTCTCAGCCAGCCCTGTCATTCCCTCACCTTCGAAACGAATCCAAAAGCAAAAGATGTGTGAGTCGTCCATCACAGTCTGCTGGCAGCAGGACCTGTGGATATAAGGGGATTCCGAGAATTTTCTTAGTGGTGAAACAGTCAAGACACACATGCACACACTCACACAAATGAAGTGGAAAGAGAGAGTGGTGGAGGGCAGCAGTTTTACATGCCATTTCATTTGCCAGATCTGATGTATAGAATGTATCTGTATATATGGCAACCTAACAAGCTTGTATTTTAAAGAAATAAAGAAGACCCATACTGAAGCCGCACCATGTAGTAATGAAAAAAATTTATCAAAAAAAAAACCCAATAAAGTGAAAATAAAGATGTGGGTAATGTATTGACTGACTTAAGTAGCTTTGATGAATGTAGATCATAGTTGGGATAACTTTTTATCCTCAGGTTAACTAATCATTATTTCTTTTCTTTTCTTAGCATTGCCCAAGGAATATCAGAAGATAGGAAAAGCCTTGCAGTGTTTAGCAACTGTATTCAGTTCCAGTGGCTACCAAGGTAAACTTTAATTTATTTGCATATAGACTGGGCCATGTGTGGTATCATAGAATCTGAATTGGAAGGACTTCAGACCGTCCTCTAATCCAGTGTTCTCCAAAGTGGAAGCTGTGGTCTAGCCCCAAGGAGTTTATGATCAGCCGGTTAGGGAAAATAGGTCATGTCCCACCCTCCTCCTGATAGCCAGTTTTATGGGCTGTAGTACAACCACACCTACTCTTATCCCTCAAAACTCCTAATGTGTTGTGTGTCCACTGTGCAAGCTCCCAACCTACCACTCTTTGAATTGGGTGTTGACAGGGCACGTAAGTGGATATTCATAGGTTGAGCATCTGCATACTCACTCCCTAAGCTCAGATCACTTGATAATAACTATGATAGGCACACCTCAGATCAAAGAGTAGGCTCCATGCTCTGGGAAATTAACCTGGATTAAAAACTTTACACCTCTCCACTGGTGTAAGTCTATGAACCAGAACCTTCCTCTAAACTATCTCCAGCAGGTCTTCAGTTGCTTGTCCAGTTGTTATAGAACTTTCCACAGGATCTGGAAGTGAGCAAGAATCTCATCCTTGAACATCTTTGTGACTAGGACTTAAACTGGTTAAGATGGTCACAGTAAGAATCCTTGAAAATATCAGCATCCTGTTTCATTGAGTTGTATGAAAAGTAGAGACTTGAGAATGTAAATGATGGAAGATTAGAGGGAAGAGAAGCCTTTGAAAGGGAGTGTAATTTGGGTTCCTCCTGCTAGCTTACTTTCCTTTGTTGTTTCTGGATCTACCTCTTCTGTGTTTCTTGGAATTAAGTCCATGGCACTTGCCATGCAGAAACGCAGCTGTAATCTTTGCTGCTGAGGGAGACTGAGGCTGGTGGATTGCTTGAGCCCAAGAGTTATGAGCAAGATAAGGGAGGAGACCCAGTCTCAAAAGAACAAAGTCCTTGATACCGAACGTTTCGTACTCTTGAGTCCAGTTTATTCCCTGAACTCTTAAAATAAAAGTCTTATTTTTTTACCCATGTTGCACAAAAGTCACTTTAAGCAAAACGCCCCAAGTATTGGATATGTATTGCCTTAAGTCTCCTTCTCTCTCACTTGGCATTCTGTCCGTCTTGTTGCATAAGTGAAAGTCTCATCTGAATTGAGACAGTGTCATTTGACATAGTTGTTCTTGGAGCTCCTAGTGCCTTGTCTCTGTGAATAAGTTACTGCTTTTGACTGTACTTTGTCTCTTTCGTTTTATGCTATAGAGCAGACTTGTTTTGTTCCTCAACCCATGATTTTATCAGGGCGGTGAACGCCCAGTGAGGAATGTCCTTTACCTTCTCTGTAATGTATAGTCTAGAGTTGCCAGGGCCACTGAGAGGCTCAGTGACTTGCCAGGTCACATAGCCAGGGGTGAACCAAGTCTTCCTAAATTCCCAGGTCAGCTCCTCAGACAGTATACCATGCTGCCTAAAAATTGACATGTCTAAATACATGAATGTCCAGTATAAATAATAGGCTGGAATTTTCTTTCTGTTGTCCAGCTCTATCAAATTTCTGAACGTTTAAAAAGTGATTCATAGGAACTGCTAAGCTGGGCTTACAGATTCTAATCTCTACCTGTTAGGACCTATCAAAATTCAGTTACGTTTAGGCAGCGTTTTTGTGCTTCCGTGCCAGGCTCTGAGGTGAGACAGCCAGCTGAAACAGGAAGAGGACTGGGTTTTGGAGTCCAGCGACTTGGCTTTGTCTCCTGATTTTGCCTTACCACCTGAGGTTGGACGTGTGGCTCTGAAGCCCAAGGTCCTACATCTAGAAAGTGCTGGCTTAGATATCCTCTATAGCCCATTCCTGCAGGGAACATATGCTGATGATGGCAGTGACGGAAGAAGAGCAAGAGATGGGGCTTTTGGAAGGTGAACCTTTATCTCTGGAGGAGTTAAGGGAAAAATGTGGACAGGAAATTATTTATCTCAGGTAATGGGTGGCACAGTCTGCTCACCTGACTTTAATTGGCAGTTAGCACATTCCTGCCATGGCCTGGTACAGATGGGAGCAAACAAAGATGATCCTCAAGCAGAAATCTAATCGTATCTCCCCGACCTATCTGCAAGTGAGTGGCATGCTTGCGGTTCTCCAGACTTAGCACTTCTTTGCCTTTGACACAGGCTGAATGTGTGATGCCTGCTCCGCTCACTTCCTCACCTGTTCCTCTTAAAATCTCTATTTCTTTCAAGGCTCAACTGAGGTACCACCTCCCTTGGGAAACCTTTTCTGTACATCCTGGTCATTAGGGTTCTCTCCCTCCTTGAGGTACCTTAAACTTAATTAACAGTGCAAATATTGAATCCCTTCCCTCCCTCCAGTGGAAAGTAAGCTCTTTGAGGGTGCGGACTGTTACATTTTTGTCTTTGTTCAGTTGAATTTGGCAGGAAATTGCGAGGGATCTCTCCTTACTGCAGATCTTCAGTTATCTTCATGTACTTCTATGGGTTGCTAAGGTTTCTGTTCCCACTGTTAGGGGTGGGGAGAATGAAATTTATTTAACAGATAGCAAACACAGACCACAAAGTGATAATGTTATAAAAGGATAATATAGACCAGGAGTTTTTAAACTTAGGGTCCTAGACCTTTTTAAAATTTTATTTAAATGATTCTGTTTCATTATCATTGGTCTTCTTTGTTTCTAACATGTCATTATGCAGTTAAAAACATTATTTTGAGAAAGGAGGCCCATCTTGTTCACCAGACTGCCAAAGTAGTCCATGACTCACAGGAAAAGGTTAAGAACTGCTACTATAGACAATCTAAACAAAAAGGAGGAATTAGATATTTTAAGAAATTAGTTCCAAACCTGGTACCAGAAGCATGATATTATAACAATGGAGACTTCAGCTATCTGTATATCTGTCTGCTGGCATTAATGTTCTGCCAAAGGCAGAGAAACTGAGAAATGCAGGATATGACTTAAAGGCAATTTCATCCTTTCAAGAGTAGAAGAGAGAAGAGAAGCTCTAATTCTGAAATGGATACTGACCAGCAAGGAAGGGCCATTTACTAGAGTAAAAGTGAGTGGCAGGAACCTTAGGAAAAGTGTCTCCCATGTTAGAGTTCATGAAAGCCTAGATATAGTCTGATGTGCACCCTAGATTTAAGAAAAGCAGATTTGAAAGCATTCATGAAAAGGTAAGCAGGGTCACAGAGCTTAGTACAGAGGTGGGGAAACTGCAGCCTTGAGGCCACATGAGCCCTCTAGGTCCTCAAGTGTGGCCTTTTGACTGAATACAAACTTTATAGAACAGATCCCTAGTCTAATGGCCACACCCAAAGACTGAGATGGCCATGTGTGGCCTCAGGGCCCTGGGGTTCCCCACCCCTGGCTTAGTACTCAGCAGAAGGCATTGGCCCAAAGAAGATGTAAAACTTTCAAGAAGGAAATTCTTAAGATGCACCCAAAAGTGAATCCAATGAGGACAAAAAAGGGAGGAGCTCCTTGAAAAGGCTGATATGACCTCATAGGGAACTCTTTTCAGTCAACTTATTTTTAAAAGTCACCTACAGAATGTAGAAGTAGTAAAAAAACAGTTGAGGAGAGAGACAAAACAGTAACAAGCTCTGAAGCCTTAGAATGAGCTTAATTTAAGCTGGTAGTAAACACAGACAGCAGAATAGAGTAGAGAGAGAGAGAGAGAGTGTGTGTGTGTGTGTGTGTGTGTGTGTGTGTGTGTGTGTGTGTGTGTGTGACACAGAGAGATAGATTGTGACAGAAAGAGTGAATGAGAATCATAGATTTAGAATTGGAAGGGACCTCGGACGTTGTTGACTGTGGTCACACAGCTAAGAGCTGTTAAAGAGGTGGAATACGTGTGGATCCAGGTCTTCCTAAATTCCAAGTCAAGCATTCTGACCACCATACCACACTGCCTCTAATATAGCCAACCCTAGTCTCTGTAGGATTGCTTAACCTCTTCATTCTATAGGCATCTCAAACTCAGTCTGTCCCAAAGAGAACTCAATTATCTTCTTTCTGAAACCCACTCCTCCTCCAGATTTCCCGATCTCTTTTGCTAGTACCACCATCTTAGCAACCAGGAACACAAACTAGAGGTTATTCTTGACCCTTCACTTTCATCCCCTTCTCAAACCCTTTCTGTATTTAGTGAGTTCCTACATCTGTTCATGTCATTCTCCAGATCCAATAAGGTAGAATTTAATGAAGATAAGTGTGAAGTTTTGCATGTGAGTTGAAAAAAATCACCTTCACAAACTAGAAACAAGAGTAGAAATTGTAAAGATGAAGACTTAGGTTTAGTGTGATCAAAATTTTATCAGCGTGAGCTCTAAAACAAAGTTCAGTGGACTGACTGACTGACAAAGAAGGTATTGGGTTCCCTTTCACTAGATATTTTCAGATTGCAATATTCTCAGCATAAGGGTACTCTTATTCAAGTACAGGTTGGAGTAAATGCCCTCTGAGGTTCCTTTCAGCTCTTAGACTTTGTGAAGATTTGCACAGGGTTGATGGGAATGAATGAATGAAAAAAAACATTTATTGAGTGCTTACTCTGTGCTGAGCTTGGGGGACATAAATAAGAATTCAGAACAGTCTGTCCCTGATCTCAAACTCACATTCCAATAAGGGGAGGTAATACATATAGAAGGGTTTAGCTGCCAGTCAGATGGCAATGCCCACAGGTCTAGTGGATCAATCAGTAGAGAAGATAGTATGGTTCAGTGTTCCACCATCTTACTAAAAGGATTATAGTTAGTGACTACCCCTGTTCATCCAAGGGATGTGAGTGGCACAGTTCAGTGGGACAGGGATACTGAGCCCCAGGATCTGAGGTGAAGGTGGTTTGAGGGTAACTTTTGGTGGTCAGCATTCCAAGGAGGAGAGTTCATCCAGTGTGTGGTGAGAACTGGACAGTGGAGTTGGGTCTAAGGCTAGGAAAGTCACTTGGATAGAAAGAAGGCAAAGGTACTTGAATGAGGATAAGAAGATTTGCGTATGGTAAGACAGGAAGAGTAGACAAGTGGAAAGCAGACCAGTTAATAGATGGAGACTAGAGAGAAAAGTTTACTCTGCTGATACTGGTAACATGGTCACCAGCAGATTGCTGTCCTGATGAATCATAGCAAACTTCAGAGTCACTGTCACTTCAGTATTTTTCACAACTTCCTGTGAGAGACACTGTTCCGTTGCCTGCTGCCTCAATATTAACTTATTTATGTTCATAATTACCATTCAGTTGTTATTAAATATCTAATATATGTGTGACACTGTTCTATGTCATAAAAGTGCCTCAAACATTAATTATGAAGTATATCATGTTGTCTGTGTGCGTTATATAATTTAACTCATTCAGGTTACAAGTATTTTTCCTGTGATACTTGGGTTCTCATTTTAATTAGGCTCTTACCCTTTCCAACCAAGATGGAAGTTGCCAACATCAAGCACTTTGCTCTCATTCTCTTCTAGTTACATATGCAAAAGTCTAACATAATCCTGACAGTGGAGCCCAGAATCCTTTATTCTCTCCCAGTTCTACTGTTTCTTTTAGTCTGGATATGTCATTGAAGTAAATGCAATTGTATTTTCAGGTGAAACAGACCTTAATGATGCAATAACAGAAGCGGGAAAAACTTATGAAGAAATTGCGAATCTTGTGGCAGAGCAGGTAGGGGTGTGGCTGTTCACATCACTGCATAGTTCTAGTTGAAAAGGAGGCACAGAACATGCTTCTTTGTGTTTGGCTTACAGGAGGAAGTTTTCCTCTCCTTGTCCACATGGTCAGTTCTCATGAAAACCAAAGGCACATCGTTAATTTTAAGAAATCAGACTTTCTTAAATGACTTGCTGATTTTCAAGGAATAAATAACATCATTGTATTCCTATGTCATGTAACAGTCTAGAACATTGATTGTGGTGCTGTGGTCCTAAATCAGAATTAAAGGACACAGAAAATGGTCATTAAAAATTACAAATTTTATGTAGAATTTATATCCCACTTAATCCTTAGTAGCCCCATTTTCTGTGTTTGAAGAAAATAACCTTTTAGAGAAACATCTCTCTGAGTTTGCCACTTTTTCAGTTTTAGCTTTTACTTTCTAAGTTCATGGGAGTATTTTCAGATGACTTAGCAAAATGCTAAATAGTTTTATTATTAAAAATGCATATTGGCATATCCTAACATAGACAGTAACTTTTTTTTTAAAGCTAATTTCTTGTTATTCAGTCATTTTTCAGTGTTACTAACTCTCTGTGACCTCATTTGAGGTTTTCTTGGCAAAGATACTGGAGTGGTTTGCCGTTTCCTTCTCCAGCTAATTTTACAGATGAGGAAACTGAGGCAAACAGAGTTAGGTGACTTGCCCAGGGTCATACAGCTAGTAAGTGTCTAAGGCCAGATTTGAACTCAGGAAGGTAATTTCCTGACTCCCAGCTGGCATTCTATCTAGCTATCCTAACTTTCCCAATTTACCCAGTAAATTGTTCTTTTCAACAAAAAAAAGAACATAAGAAAAATACTACTGCAATGAAAGGGGAAAATAATATTGAATTCAAAAAGTGACTTGTGTTCTGCTGCCATACAGGTAGCTAGGTGACATAATGGATTGTATTCTGGTCCTGGAGTCGAGAAGGCAGATCTGGCATCAGATACTTATGTGACCCTGGGCAAGTCACTTTAAAAAAAAAAATCTGTTTGCCTCAGTTTCCTTAACTGTAAAGTGGGAAAATAATAGTACCTCCCTCCTGGTGCTGTTAATAGGAACAAATGAGATCATTCATCTTTTTCATAACGTGTGCATGTTGTGTTGCTCCAAAATTGCTTATTTTAAAAGGCTACTTTAAATCTCTTTCATTTTTAACTTTTGCAAAATGTAGTCCATAAAAAGATTAGCTTCTGTTATTCTTGTAGTGAAATATAATTGAACATTTACAACACAACACCTCAGATCTAATTGGTATGTAGGCGGTGGGTTAAAAAGATAATTACTTTTTCTTATTTGATCTGTCACTAATCACCAACATATGTATTTTAGCCAAAGAAAGATCTCCATTTCCTGATGGAATGTAATCATGAATACAAAGGATTCCTTGGCTGTTTCCCTGACATCATTGGTACTCACAAGGTATCTTGGTCTTGAGTTGACAAAATATTCCTCAAAGATAATGGGTGAAAGATCAACAATTTCTCTTCTTGGCTGTTTAACATCCCTTTATAATGACTGGGAAGATTGAGAGAGAGAGAGAGAGAGTGTTGTGTGTGTTGAAATTTTATATCCCTACAAAAGTGTAGCGCTATAATGGAAAATTCATAAATGGCTTTCATAATTTTTACTCAGCTAACAATTCCATTTGTAAGCTTGGAATAGATGAAACCATTTTCTTATTTTATTAATGAACTTGAAGTCTCAAAGACAAAAATATGCTTTTGAATGCAATTTAAAAAAAAACCAATTACCCAATAGGAAGAGAATGAACCCAGTAGTCCTCTCCTCATAGGAACACAAAATACTTTACCTGAGTTATTGGTTCTCACCAGTTGCCTCCTGTCAAAATAAAACCAATATTGGTTTGTCTCTGAAATTCATGAGATGTTTTGTGAGTCGACCTTTAATGGTTAACAGTACTGTTGATATATTAGCCAGAATTCACCAGGAAGGCACCATAAATCTCCCAGCTCTTGAGCATTTTAAAATAAAAACAACTCCTGTCTGTTCCCTTCTCGGCTCACACAGCCACGACCCTAGTTCAGAGCCTCATCACCTCTCACTTAGATTAATGCAGCCGCCTTCTCATTAGTATTCCCATGTCCCAGTCTCTCCCCTCTCCAAACCATCCTCCACACAGCTGCCAAATTAATATTCCTAAAGCACAGAACTGATTTTGTTACTCCCTTTCTTAGCAAGTTCCAGTGACTGAATCCCTGCTGTCTGTAGGATTAAGTACACACTCCTCTTTTTGGTTTTGAAAACCTTTCATAAACTGGTTGCATCTTAGAAAATGGGCTACTTACACATTATTCACTTGCACGAACTCTACATCCCAGCCGCAATGGCCTACTAGCCATTCCCCATCCATGACGATCATTTCCTGCCTCCATGCCTTTGCACGTATTGTGCCCCCAGCCCACCCACACTGCCCATGTCTAGAGTTCATTTCCTCCTTATCTCATCTTCATAGAATCCCTAACTTCCTTCCAGACTCAGTTCACTTACCTCCCCACAAGAAGTGTGACTTGCTTCTTCGTCTTCCATCTCCAGTTCTCTAGACTAGACTGTGCCTGCCAGCAAAGCCTCACACTGTTTTAGAATTTATTTGTCATGGTGGTGTTGGGTTGGTTCGGACATTTTGGTTTTGGTGTTTATCAGCAGAGTCTCAACAGTGGAGCAGTCAAAGGACTTAATTGTTCTCCTGTAACCCAGCTTGACAATTTTGGCATGGTTCTAAATTGAAATAGCGTGAAGGAAGGGAAGCCCATATGAATGTGTGTTTTTGCACAGTTTTGAAGGGTGTACTGTAAAACTTGGAATGACTTGACTTTTAGTAAGAAATCCTGTTATCAGACTAAGAAGTTTTCTTTGTCTCTGGACTGACATGACCATCAAAGTTGCAGAATATCAAATTCACCAGATCTCCCTCTTGGTTTGTCTGGTTTTGTTTATGTCGTCATTCCCAGACACCTAAGCTCAAAACTTTAATGTCATCTTTGGCTCTTCCCACGTGATTCCTTTCCTTCTCTACCTGCACACCTACCCCTAAAAGTACATACACATCCAGTAAATTACCACATCATCTCTTAATTTTTTTCATTTAACAAACACTTTTCTCTCCTCTCCATTGGAAAAAAAAATAGAAAAGCAAAACTTTTATAATAAATACGCATCATCAAAGGTGTCAGCCTGTTATACAGAATGTGTTTTGGACATGGCCAATATGGGAATTTGTTTTACTTGACTCTTATTTGTTTCAAGGATTTGGCATTGGAAGGAAGTGAATGCTTGATAGTTGAAAAAAATAAAATTTAATTAAAAAATATGAATAGTCAAGCAAAACAAATCCCCACATTGGCTATTCTTATTGAATACATTACCCCTCTGTGAGAAGGTGGGTAGCATAGATGTGTCTTTATCAGTCACCTGGAATTGCCACATTGTCTCTTAGATCTGGCCTCGTTTCCATTCCTAATGCTGCTCTGTGGTTCAGACCCTCCTATCCTCTCAAGTTGACTATTGCATAGACTCCTAGTGGGGTTCCCCCACCTCCATTCTTTTCACCCTCTGTTCCATGCCTTACACTGCTACCAGATTACTCTTCCTAACACAGAGTTCTGATCATGGCGCTTCACTTCTTAGAAGCCATTGGTTGACTCCGCCATTACTTGAGAAGCAGCATCCAGTCCCCTTAGAGCCCTGACACCCAAGGTCTTCCACAATCTGACTCCAAACGTCCATCTCTACTCCTGTTTCCAACTATTTTCCTCTACTTTACGCTTTAGCTGAATTGGGCTACTTGTTTCATATTGACATACCATGATTTCCTGCCTCTCTGTTTGCTGATAATCTTCTCTGCCCATGGAATGCCCACCACTCTTTCTTCTGTCTGTTGACATTGACATTGACCTCTTCCACAAAGCCTTACTTGATTTCCCCTCCTGCTCCTTTTGAACTTTCATTGATATTTTTTTAGCTGCCCGTGCATGTATATTCCCCTTTGTGTTGCAACGATCTGCATACGCTTATCACTACTCTTGCTGCTAGATTGTGAGGCGAGTAACATGCTTCATTGATCTAGGTCTTTTGCAGCAGCTGACAAGTGTGGGTGGTTATTTGACTGTTTGGTTGCATTCTCTGAAGAACAGTGTAGAAATCCCAATTCTCTTTGCTGTATTTTAGAACATGTGAGCATCTTTCTCATTGAAACTATGATGTGTGGAAGCCGTTTGTTTTTTATTGGCTTAGCTAATAATGCCTGGTTTTGTATTCCACAGGGAGCAATAGAAAAGGTGAAAGAAAGTGATAAATTGGTCGCGACCAGTAAAATCACCCCCCAGGACAAACAAAACATGGTGAAGCGTGTAGGCATAATGTCTTATGCACTACAAGGTAAATATGAAAACTTCGCCCAAATGTGGTTTATTATATTATCAGTAGCTAGCACGCAGGGGAATTGGTTTTAACGTGGAAAGTTCTTGTCAGAGAGCAGTGAAATTGAAATATAAACAACAGTTAGCCGAAAGACTCTAAAGAAAATTTACCACTGAATCTAAAATGTGGGTTGATCTTTAAAATACCCGAGAGGGGGAAGCTAGGTGGCACAGTGGATAGAGCACTGGCCCTGGAGTCAGGAGGACCTGAGTTCAAATCCAGTCTCAGACCAGACACTTGACACTTACTAGCTGTGCAACCCTGGGCAAGTCGCTTAAAACCCAATTGCCTCGCTAAAAAAAATACCTAAGAAGCTTCTGTGTTGCCTATGATCACCAGCATAATCAGATTGTCACATTTAATCATGCTTTCCCCACAATTGGCTTATTCAGCCACAATGGGCAAATTACTAGAACATAAACTTTTTAGTATTTGGTTCTTATGGCTAATAGAAGTCACCTCTTTAGCTCCCATTGCCAACACCTTTAGCTTTAGCTTTTCACATCCCAAAGTTAAATTTTAGGGGTTCTGTGGCCGCCATGGTCTGGAACCCACTTCCTATCTCATTTCTTCAAATTCCAGCCTTTTTGTCCTGTACAATAGATTTTGAGCTGCTCCAAGTTTAACTAAGCTGTCAGGGCTAAACAAACCAGGGCTGGTTTTCCCAGTAGATAAAGACCAGTTTGGTTTGGTATTTCCTATAGAAAGAGTCGGTACTACATTTTAAATTTGATTCTTTTTTTAGGATTATAAATCCCAAAAAGTTATTAAATAATGATGAAGTTAGGTGGTGCAGTGAATAGAGCACCAGACCTGGAGTCAGGAAGACCTGAGTTCATATCTGGCCTCAGATACTTACTAGCTGTATGACCTTGGGCAAGTCACTTACCCTGTTTGCCTCCGTTTCCTCATCTGTCAGATGAGCTGGAGAAGGAAATGGCAAACCATTCCAGTATTTTTGCCAAGACAAACCCTAAATGGGGTCACAAGTTGTCAGACACAACTGAAATGATTGAATGATAAAACCTCCCAGGGTTGTTGGGAGGATCAAAGAGGTAACATTTGTAAAGCAAACCTAAAAGTGCTGTATAAATGTTAGTAGTTATTATTGCCAACTTCTTTTTTAAAATTTTATTTTATTATTATTATTGCCAACTTTTACAAGAGATCTTTAGCAGTTAGTCAGACCTTCTGCCCTGTGCAGGGATCCCCTCTACAAGCTTCATGTGATTCTATCCCATTTTTAATATAGTAATACCTAAAATTAGAGGCAGCTAAGCTGTATAGTGGATAGAGAGTCAGTCCTAGTGTCAGGAACAACTGAGTTTGAATCCTGCTGTAGAAACATGCTACCTGTGTGGCTGTGGGCAAGTCATCTGACCTCTTTTGGCCTCATATCTTCCTGACTGCAGGTCTTCCTCTATCTACTACACCTTACAGCTGCCTCACCTAGGCCTTCTTTCTGATACTCCACTAATTTACATTAATTACATTCACCAAGAAATGTTTGTCTGCCGTTGACTTAATTTAGTTACATTTTCTTCTCTTCTAAAATACACTGATGAGGACTTGAGTGTTCTCTGAAGACAGCAAGGTTAAATTCCTTTGGATGAGTAATCATTGCCTAGGAGGAGAGTCATTTACTTTGGGAAGTCTTAAGCTGATTTATGTCTTGGGGTTTTGGTTGCAGCGGAGATGAATCACTTTCACAGTAACCGGATATATGACTATAACAGTGTCATCCGCCTGTATCTGGAGCAGCAGGTACAGTTTTATGAAACGGTAAGTTGTCATTCCTTTTTCAAACATTTGCACTAGTGGGCTCAAATTAAGATGTGATGTCACTGTATTGAAATTCATTCATTCCATTCAACCATATTTATTACTTGCAATTTTGGAGGTAAAGTGTTGAGTCTTTTTGAATTAGGTTATGAGAGGTGATTTATAAAAATCATATTCAAATCTACTGCTCAGTGAACCATCTCTTATAACAAAGAATGAAAAAAGAGAAAAAGTAATTCAAGTAAACCAGGGGTGGGGAACCTTTGGCCTCAAGGCCACGTATGACCCTGTAGGTCCTCAAGTGCAGCCCTTCTGTTGGATTCAGTCAAAGGGCCACACATGGTCTCGGCCCGCAGGTTCCCCACCCCTGAGCTAAACTGACCAACACATCCACTGAACCTGAAAGTATATGCAGAGTTCTGCACCCATAGGCCCCCACCTCTGCAAAGAAGGGAGGGAGGGAGGTCGTTTCTGTCATCTTGCAGCCAACCTTGGTCATTAAAATCACGCAGTGTCCCGTTTCAGATTTTTGTTCTTTTAAATCATTGTCCTGGTTCTGCTTACTTCACTCTGTTATCCTTTTTATAGCTTCCCGGGTTTGATTAAATTCTTCATATTTAATTTTTATGGCACAGTAACATTCCATGGTAGTTGTATCTCATAATTTGTTTAGCCACCTCTCCATAGTCAACAGGCATCTACTTTGTTTCAAAATCTTTGCACCACCAAAAGTGAAACATGCTGATATGAGTATTTTGATGTATATTGGAGTTTTGTTCCCATCTTTGAGCTCCTTGGGGTATATGAGTAGCAGTGGCATGTCTGGAATATATATATATCTCAGTCACTTTCCTAGTATCATTCCAAATTGCATTTCAGAATTCTTAGACCAATTCTCAGCTCTCCCAACAGTGCATTAGCATATCTATCTTTCCTCTGTTTTTTGACATCTTTACCAGTTTTGCTAAGCGTGAGGTGAAACCCGAAACCTCAAAGTTATTTCGATTTGAACTTCTCGTATTATAAGTGATTGGGAGAAGAGGTGAATATATCAGCTCCTTTTGAAAGATCTCTCTTTTTTGCCGTTGATTTTTCTCCCTCGATAACAGAAAACCATTTTGTTGTTCTGAAGGAGAAAGAATCTTGGATTCTTAAAACCCTAAGAATTCCCTATTTTGTTCCCACCTTCCGCCTTACTTAATGGCCAGTGGACCACATATGAATCATCCATTTCTCTGGGTACCAGGAACGCTGCTAAATGAGATGAGATCATCCCATCACTATAGTAGGCTTTACAGTGACTCCTCAGCAGGGAAAGGAGACTGGAATAGAGATTAAACCCAGGGCCTATTTCTTTTTGTGAAAGAGGAGTTTCACAGTCAGCAAGCATTTTGTGTACCAGAAGGAGATTTAAAAAGAAAAGCAAAGCCTCTCTCTCTCTCTCTCTCTCTCTCTCTCTCTCTCTCTCTCTCTCTCTCTCTCTCTCTCTCTCTCTCTCTCTCTCTCTCTCTCTCTCTCTCTCTCTCTCTCCCTCTCTCCCCTCCCCCCCCACTCACACACTCACACACACACACAATGCGACGTAATATGTAAGTAAGCTAACGTTACAGATCACCAAGCTGTATGTAAAGCAAATACATAAATGAAACAAACCTGAAAAGCTAATGAAGAGCTAAGCTTTTGTTCTAGATTTCCCCAGGCATATACTTAGTCATCCAATCAGCTCTGTGTCACATAGACTTGAGCAGCTGCTTTGCCTGCCCATTTTTAATTCCACGGAAACAGTGGAGCCATATCTGTTATCCTAGGAGCGTTCCACCCTTATGAGAGCAAAGGGGACTGATAAGTGACCCACCAGAGTTAAGTGTCTTATTTCCACCAAGGTTTTAACCGCACCAAAAATTCACTGTCTCCATCCACCCACAACCTCTGAAGCGGACATTGTACTGAACTCATGTGCCTCAAATATATTAGTAGACTTACATATAAAAGGCAGCTCTGTCTGATGTGCCTCATCTGTGTATCTTTGTGAAGGTGATCATCCCAGCAAACAGATAAGGGGACATGCCACCCTTCTCTTAGTAAAGAGGCTGGGGACTACTAGGGTAGAAGGTAGAATGTCTTTGTATCAGATGCAGTGATTATATATAGGGTGTTTTTGCTTTGTTCTTTTACTTTGTTAAAACAGAGGTTCTTAACCTTGTTTGTATCATGGATACCTTTGGCAGTCAGGTGAAACCTATGTGAAATACACAGGATTACAAAGGAAACCAATTATGTTGAAATATATTTATCAGATTTTAAAATTTTATGTATGTGTAAATGTATTTACATTTATTGTGTATTTACATAATTTATATTTGCTCATATATAAATATAGTACATGTGTGTGAATATGATATTATAATTACATATGTTATTCACATATCTCATTTGAGCCTCACAAAACCTTGGGGAGTAGATACTATTATATTCCCTATTTACAGATAATGAAACTGAGGCCTTCTAGGTCTTATGGATCCCAGGTTAAGAACCCCAATTTAAAAGGAAGGCTCAATCTTGAGGAGAGGTGGGGTATTTACATAAATTATTATGACATTAAAAAAAGCATCAATTAAGTCTTAGCCTTTTTTAAAAAGTTTCTTTTATTCATTTTTTTAAAAGTTGGTTGGTAACAGAAGCTAGGAGAGACAGTTGAACTCTTGGAATTTAAGCAGCGGTCCCTCTTTGCAGTGAAATTCATATATTTGGCACTAATCACATTTCATTACTATACGTGTGTGTGGACATTAGAGTGGCATATGGCACCTGTGATCTGGGAGAAAGTCTCTGGTATTTGTTACTTCTTGGAATATTTGGTTCACTAGTTCCAGGGGTTTTCTCCCTAAGCCACTGCACGTGGTGATGGCACATCTAGTCCTCACTTCTAAATTGTAACCATTGTGGCTGCCGAACTTTATTTCACAGGATCATTTTAAGATGTCTTGAAATATTTTTATGGCGCTGAGTTATAGTAGTTGACAGACAACATTTTAGATTTAACTTGTGCCCTTTGAAAAATGTAAATGTCTATTTTCAACAGGGTTCACAAATATTCTTAAAATGGTTTGACTTATAATTAGTTACAAAGAATAAAAAGAAGGTAAAGAGGGGGCGGGGATGGGAGGCAGGCAGCGGTGCGACTTCTGCACATAATTTGTTTTAACATGTGTTTTTTCTTCCAGATTGCAGAAAAGCTGAGGCAGGCCCTCAGCCGCTTTCCGGTTATGTAGGCAAGGGACATGAAGAAAACTCCGAAGTGCTTCTTTCTGACTTGGGGAAATGCAATTTCAAGTTTGTCTTCTCTTCTTTTTCTTCTTTCACCATCCCAAAAAAATTTTGGAAAAATAACTGAATTGAAGGGAAAAAAAAGACCCACAAAATTAAGATGTTTACTTTATTAACCAGCCTGAATGCATCATTTATTCAAGGGTGTCCCTTTTTTTAAGTTCATTTTTGTATCCATTATTTAAAAAAACAAATTTGTCTCTATTTTTGGAAAGGACTTCAGATTGCTGGGATTTGTTAATGAAAAATTAAAAGAGTTTTTCCCATTGATTTTTATATAGATTCCTAATCTCTAAGTCACATAAAATCTTCTAGTTCTTATCCAATGTCAGATAATTACTAATTTCTTTAAAAACATGAAATATGCCAGAATAAAAATATATATATGTTTGTATATTTTTATAACTCTACAGTCTTTGGGGGATTCCTGCCTGCTATTTAGCAAAATCCATATACATCTCATTTACACATTTGAAACATGACTGCTTATGTTTTGGGGGGGCCTGGAGGGAGATGAAAAGGGAGCCTCTGGGATTTTTAGGTCTCTGTCATGTTCTAAAGGTATTTCACCACTTACCTCTTTAAAAGGATTCAAACCTCACAAAACAAGCTACAAAATGCACACTTAGGTTCCTTTCTCTGCTTCTGTTTCCTCACCTAGCCACTGTCTTAAAAGTAATTTCTGCTATACTGCCCTGGTGGCCCATGAGGATTTGTGCTGCTGTTAGTTATTCCTCATTGCTCCTTTCAAATTGGAGTCAGAGGGGGGTAATCATCAGTAGAAATAATTGGTCAGCAACATCATTGAACATCTTTACTACTGGTTTCTTCCCCTCCACTGATGAGGCAGCCTGATGATAGTAGATATACTAGGTATAGAGGGCACTTTGGGGGAAAAGGAGTAAATTGAACACTCCTCTCCGATGTTTCCACTCTTTTATTCCTTTTGTTGTTCAACCCTCACCCGGTGATTACAAAATGCTGGTGATGGCGTAACCCCGATCAGGTACCGAATCTTTATGTCATAGCAGAGTGCCCCCATGGGATAGTCTTTTCATCCGGGAGGGTGGGGGAGAGATGAAAAAGCGTAGTTCAATCGCGTAACAGCCAAAGAGGAAAAGAACCCTCCACTATCTCACCTACCTCCCACCCCCATTCTCCTGCCACAGCCGTGGAAAAGCATGGAGACTACCTTTCAAGTGATAGATACAGTGTGAAGCCCAAGTAAAGGACAGTAATTCCCAGTGCTTTTGTGTTCAAGAGGAGGTGAGAGGACACCATTTTCCCACTGGTTGTATCCTATGCACAGCCTTACTTCCAAGAAAATTGCTCCAGCTGCCTGTACTTCCAATTATTGCCGAATATAGCCTTGACAAATGACTTAACCCTGAGGATGATGCATCAGGACCTATTACTACAGAGGGGCAGGGGATGTTATCTTAGCTCTGGGGGCTCTCTTACTCCACTGTCATGCGTTACTTTCATTTTTCTGTATTAATAGTTAGAGAAAAGGAAAAAATAGAGGCCAGCATAAGATGAAACCAAAAATCGATAAAATGAGGGTGAGTATGTGAGAACATCTTACACTTCAATGTCAGGGGTTTTTGTTAATATTTTTATAAATAATTTCTCCCCAAGTTTTCCTTTTATAAAATTCCATAGAGCCATGTTTATGATACAGCCATTTAATATATGTACAAATTGTAAAGAATGTGTATAAATATTTTACATCAAATGCATGTAGAAGGAACTTATAAAATAAATTGTTAAAAACTGTACAGTAAATTGTCAAAGCACTTTTTCAAAACAATGCTTAAGCATTTTTATTTTTTTCCACTTGAATTGTTTGTATATTGTTTCTGAAAAACAGGGTGGGGTGTGAATTTTTTTACTTTTCTTTCAAATTAAAATCTGCTTTCTCTCCCTATATCCCCTTCTCCCTACCCCTAGTTGAGAAAGCAAAAAACTAACCTTATTATACACATGTACAGTCCAATTTTAAAAGTTCCGACATTGTGTCCCAGGCACTGTGAACTTAAGTAGCTCACTCTTATAGGGAAATAAGTAAACAAATACGTACAGACTAGCAATATACAGGATGCAGAGTCAATCAGCAGAGAGCAGGCACTAGAAGTAAGAGGGATTGGGAAAGGATTGCTGTAGAAGGTGGGGTCATAGCTGGGACTTGAAGGAAACCAGGGAAGACACATGACTGAGATGAGGACAAAGGATTTCAGGCATGGAGAAAAGCCAGAGAAAATGGTCGGAGCCAAGAGATGGGAGTGTCTTGTTTGTGGAACAACAAGGAGGCATATTTTGCTGGATCAAAAAGTCCTGAAGAGGAAGATTAGGTGCAGGAGAGTTAGGAGTAGGAAAATTGGAAAGATGGTGGTAGGGAAGGGGCCTCTAGGTAATGAAGGGCTTTGTGATCCTGGAAGTGATAAGGAGCCCCTGGAGTCTACCCTTGCTTTAGAAAAAAATCACCTTAGTGACCCTCCGGAGGATGATTGGAGAGGGGAAAGACTTGAGGCAGGCCGACCCATCAGTAGACCATGGCATTAATCCAGGTGTGAGGTGATGAGAGCCTGCACTAGAGGGGTAGCAATGTCGGAGGAAGGAGGTGAGCTCATTCAAGAGATATTGCAAAGGTGAAATCGGCAAGCCTTGACCACAGATTGGGATTTGAAAGGCCCAGTTACTCTGAGGGACTGGGAGGTTGGGGGTGCCCTCAACATGAATAGTAAAGAAAGGTCAAGGTCTCAGCTGTGTAGTAGTTGAAGTTTGTATAAAATATAGCCCTCTAGAAATCTCTAACCAAAGACTGTAGGGTTAGGTTAGGACAGTTTTTTGTCTTTTTTTTTTTTTAGTGAGGCAATTGGGGTTAAGTGACTTGCCCAGAGTCACACAGCTAGGAAGTATTATGTATCTGAGGCTGGATTTGAACTCAGGTCCTCTGACTCCAGGGCCAGTGCTCCATCCACTGCTCCACCTAGCTGCCCCCAGTTTTTTAAGTCTTAACAAGTTTTTACAGTCTTTTAAAAATTAAAAAAAAAATTTAAATCACCTGTATTTCCTACTATACCTCTCCTATCCTTTTACATTTGAGGAAATGGATCCCTGGGGAGTTTTTCTTTAATCCTAAAATGAGTTCATTAGTTAACAGTCAACCCAGGAGACCCAAGGGAGGCTAATTTAATTCAGCTGGGTTATAAGTTAAATCCAGACCCAGACACTCACCTAGTTGTGTGACCCTGGTCAAGTTGCTTAATCTCTATTTGCCTTAATCCACTGGATAAGGAAATAGCAAACCGCTCCAGTATATTTGTCAAGAAAACCCATGTGAGATCATGAAGAGTCAGGACTGAACAAGTTAAATAACCAAGGAGAATTGAACAGAGCTGAGAAGGAAGAGAAGTCGTTAATGAAGAATTTTATAAAGAGGTTAAAGGGGTGTACTTGACCTCAGTCCAAGGTGCCATGACTTCTGGTGTAGCCATCTGGGGGGAACAAAGTTCCATAGCCTTGGCTGAGAGAACCCTCGCTGAGAAAGCTCCAGAAATGTTCCCAGCACGTGTCTAGGTAGCCAAGATTGAAGCCAGCTTCCTGATTCTTAGCTGAGAAGGCTAATAAGCTTTGACAGAGAGCTGAAGCAAACTTCATAGTATCATAGCTAAGGCCCGGAAGAAGAGTCAGTAACAGCAGAGATTTGAGCCCAGGTACTCTTGACTCCAAATTTAGCCTTCTTTCCAATGAACCAGAAAATCCTCTGCTGGCTGATAAACTCATTCCTTCTGCCTGGGCAGAATTGCTAAAAACAGGGCCTCATAGCTAAGCCAAAAAGGAGGCTAAAGAAATAGGCTGACAGAAAAAAGGAAAGAACAGTAGCCTCTTTCCTGGAGGGTAGAGGTTCATTAACCACAGCAGCCTTCCCAGTGGATGTTATTTCAAGGCATTAGGAGCCTTTGATAATAACCAGAGTTGATAACCACCTAGAGCAGAGTGTAGCAGGAAGCAGTATAGTAAAGTCATTTGTCCCAGGCACAGTGCTAAGCTCTGGAGATAGAGAAAAAAGGCAAAAACAGTACCTGCTCTCGAGGAGCTCACAGTCTAATGAAAGAGGCAACATGCAAACAATTATATACCAACTAGATATATACAGATAAACTGGAGATGATCAGCAGAGGGGAAAGCAGTAATATTAAGGGGGATCCAGAAAGGTTTCAGTTGAATGATAGGTTGGAGGCCAGACTGCAAAGAGTTAAGAAGAGAGTAAGAGGAAGTGGAAACACCTGCATTAGAGCGTAACCATTGCGAGAAAAGCTGACCAGAAAGGCTGTAGCATCAGAAGGGAGTCAGGTCTCAGTAGGATGAATCAAGTAAGAAAGGAAAAGAATGAATTCAGGTACATTACTAGCTTCCCTAGGTTTCTGGCCTCGGGGTGGTCATACAACTAGGTGAGTGTCTGGGGCTGGATTTAACTTTTAGCAATATGTAGCTAGAAAGCTGGCTAGGGATGGGGGTGGGGGGGATAGAGGGGAGGTACCAAAGCCCAGGCCAGGAAATGGCCGAGGGAATGTGAGGGAATGAGTTTCCTTCCTTCTGAGCAGGGAATATCAGTAGAAGCGATCAGAAGCTTTGTGGTGTGGGAGGTAAGTTGTGTCTCCATATTTATGCCCTGGTTCCACAGGTTCCCCACTTATACATCCCTTCATGAAGATGCCCTGGCCACTGTGAAGGTCCACTCTTCCATAGAGTATGTGTGTATTGAAATGAGAATGAAATCAAGATTTAGGGGGTAGTAGGGAATGTCATCACTAATAAAAATATCTTATAAAATGAGGGTGCCATCTGGCTACTAAAAAGTAGAATGCATTGTGGGGACTCGTGAACTATGGTTTGAAAATTATTCTAACATAAAATGCATAGAACCCTGACTAGCCACGTGGTAGGCCCGGGGCAGAGGGAGCATAGTTGGGGCAGGGCCCAGAATGGGCCATGTAAGACTTGGGAGAGAAAGGCATATTTTAGTGAAAGAGCAAATCTCAGTCCTATTCATTTTGTTAGCTTCATGGGTCATGGCTGGCTACATTTGTGTTAGCAGGGTCGTATAATAGTAACTCTGAGGGGATATGCATTATAATTGAATTTCAAATTAATCCCTAAACTGGATTAAAAAAGAATTTGAGAACCCCCACATGATAGTAATCATGCTATTAATACCATTGAGAAAATATATAATGATGAGCTACCGTAAATTCAGTAACACTGAAGTGAATTGGTATTTTGTCAGTCGTGATAGCATCTTTTCTCTTTTATTTTTTGCAAAATAGTAATATAATGTGTTTGAGGTTTTATATATGTATGTATGTATATACACATATACACATATGTACATACACATTTATTTATTTGTTTATTTTTGCTTTTTGATGAGGCAGTCGGGGTTAAGTGATTTGCCCAGGGTCACAGAGCTAGTAAGTGTCCTGTGTCTGAGGCTAGATTTCAACTCAGGTCCTGCTGACTCCAAGGCCAGAGCTCTATCTACAGTGCCACCTAGCTATATATTGTAATGGAATATGTGTACATAAGGCATTTCCTTACATTCGTGGATTTGCAGACCATCCGAAATCACTCCATGGCTCCCCAAAGGGGTC